GGCAGCCACTGCTCGCAGACAAGGTGGAAGACCACTGGCCACTGCATTCAACTGTTTGGACATGTACGCGACAGGTCATTGCCATGATCCCAAATACTGAGTTAGTACTCCCACAGCCATTCTTCTTTGCCCGTGTACATACAGATAGAATTGACGTGTATGATCAGGTAAACCTAGGGCCGGGACACTCATTAGTGCTTTCTTGATATCCTCAAATGCCTTCTGCTATTCAGTGGTCCATAGGAAGGGGTCATGTTCTGTGCCTTTTATAGCTCCATATAAGGGTTTCGCCAATATCGCGTAATTAGGAATCCATATCCTGCAGAATCCTGCTGCTCATAAGAATTCTCGCACCTGTCTTCTATTCTTTGGTATCGGTATCTGACATACCGCTTCTTTCCTTTCGGGTCCCATTATCCTTTGACCTTCAGAGATATGGAATCCTAAATACTTGACAGTTGACTGGCACAATTGCGCTTTCTTCTTAGATACTTTGTATCCTGCGTTATCCAGAGAATTTGAAGTAGATCATAAGTTGCTTGTTGGCATATCTCTTTAGTAATTGCCGCTATTAACAAATCATCCACATACTGAAGTAATACACATTCTCCTGGGATGGATTTGAAATCTTGCAGGTCCTGGCTTAGTGCGGATCCAAATAGGATGGGTGAATTCTTGAATCCTTGAGGTAGTCTAGTCCAAGTCATCTGACGCTTTGAACCCGTAACAGCATCTTCCCATTGGAAGGCAAAGATACACTGACTCTCAGCAGCAATTCGAAGACAAAAGAAAGCATCCTTGAGGTCTAAGACTGTAAAGTAAGTTGCCCCACCTGGTATCAAGGCAAGCAGATTATAAGGGTTGGGTATAACTGGGTGTATATTAACTTCCGCATCATTAACTGCTCTTAAATCTTGTACAGGACGATACTCATCTGATCCTGGCTTCTGAACAGGTAACAATGGAGTATTCCATGGGGAAGTACAGAATTTTAGGATACCATACCTTACGAACCTATCCAAGTAGGTCTGGATGTTTCTCTTTTCCTTTTGAGGTATGTGGTACTGTCGTAGACTCACGGGATAGGCCCCAAGCTTCAACTCAATATCTATAGGTGGAATATTACGGGCAAGCCCTGGTGGATTATTTTCTGCCAATACTCCTGGAATGTCAAATAGGGATTCATCACTCTTAGGGTTTACACTTGTCATTATCGTGTAGAAGCGCCATTCTTCTTCCCTTGGCACCGATATCGCCATTATGCCCGATGATCCATTAAACTTCAGGAATGTCGATCCATTGGGTAAAAAGGTTATCTGGGCTTGAAGCTTTGATAATAAATCTCATCCTAGAAGTTGGATTGGACACTCAGGCATATATAGGAATTGGTGCTTCACCAAGTGGCCTCCCAGAATGCAAGTGCGACTCTTAAGAACCGGTCTAGCAGCGCTCTTCCCAGTTGCTCCTATTACTGTTATGGTTTTTCCAGAAGGAGGAGCAACTAATTTGGTCACCACAGAATGTTCAGCCCCAGTATCAATCATGAAAGGACTTCTCTTTCCCCCTATTGCTACATCGACCATAGGCTCCGTTCGGCCAAGGGGGATGGAGCCCGGTCGGTATCAATAGTCCTCCATAACAGTGTCAGCCAGACCCACAAAATCTCTATCCTCTCTTTCTCTAGGTCTCTGCGTTGGTGGATAATATCTGTCCTCTTAAACACTTCCTCTATTATTCCCACTATTTCCTCCAAAACTTCCTCTTCCTCTATAGTTACCACCATAACCTCCCCGCACTCTTCTCTCTTCTTGTCATTTTCATAATGCTCTCTCTGAGGGCATTCATTCCTCCAATGTCCTTCCTCTCTACAGTATGCACACTAATTCCTGCTTAGTGGTCCCCTACTCAACCTATTTTCAACTCCTCTATTCACCTCTCTTCCCTGTCTTTCTACACTTGTAATAGCTACCGCTAGCATATCTGCCTTCTTCCTCATTTTACGTTCTTCTTCCCTCTTTGTCTCTGTTTCTCTGTTCATGTATACTTTATTCGCAATCTCCATCAACTGTGATATAGACATCCCTACAAATCTCTCTAACTTCTGTAATTTCCTTTTAATATCACCTTGGACCTGGCTGACAGAGGATGAGTTAACCATTCGGGAATTCTCAGGATCCTCTGGATTAAAAGGAGTATACAATCTGTATGCCTCCATTAATATTTCATAAAAGGCACTAGGTGACTCGTCAGCTTTCTGCAACACCTCAGCCGTCTTTGACATATTGATTGCCTTTTTCCCCTCCTGCCTTCATGCCAGCAATAATGGCTTCCCTATAAGCTCTTAAATGGGGCATATCAGCGCCATTAATATTCCAGTTCGGATCCACATTCGGGTAATGGGCTGCAGCCCATGCAGCCGGATTGGCCTAGTTCTGAACACGGGCCGCTTCCTCAAGCGCTTTAATAGCCGCTTGATTAATCCGAGTCCTTTCCTCATTGTTAAATAAAGTCAATAGTAATTGCTGGCAATCAGCCCAAGTAGGATTGTGGGTTTGTATGATTGAGGCAACCAAATCTGTCATGGCTTGAGGCTTATCGATATATGAAGAGTTATGTGTATTCCAATTAAATAAGTCAGTCGTAGTGAAGGGAACATAGATAAATACAGGGTCTGCATGTTGCAATTGACCATTATCGTCAACTTGTGTTGGGCCCGGTGTAAGTCGGAGAGGCATTTAGTAATGTCGGGGTTGGAGAGTACCAGTCATCTGTCGGGTTAATACAGGGCTTCAGTGAGGTTGTTTAGTATTAAGTTCCGGTCTAGGGGTAGTGAGACAAGGAGATGGGGACAACTGATTTTTACTAAACGAAAGGTCAGTTAACAGGATATTCCGGACCGGGCTGGCAGGAGCCTGACCAGGAACCAGAAATGACGTCAGATCCGGATGTGCAGGACTAATGGAGGTAGGTACCGGAAGAGGAGGGCTTAAGGCAAGTGGGCTGGGCTCTGAGCTGGATGAATGAGTGGGAGGAGACACTAGGGTAGGGGGAGTGGCAACACTGGCAACACCTCCTCTAGCCTTGAAGGAGGAGTAAGGGGGTGGTAGAGGTGGTAGACTCAGTGGGCGTATCTAAAATGGGCGGAGTTGTGGCCCTGATGGACAGGCGAGTCCTGGCCACCATGAGGCGACATTGCTCCTCGTAGCATACTTTAATCCATTTGGGCAATCCTTCCACAACCTGTTTCCAACAATCAATGTACGGAAACTGATCGCAAAATTCAGGCCTAATAGATACAGCCACGTGTACACGCTGCACTAGATTTGGATCAAGACTACCATGTGGAGGCCATGCGGTCACCAAAATAGGCCATTCTCTGCTACACAATGTAGTCAGACGCTTTGAGGATAATTTTACCCCCAAATCACAAACATTGTATCCCTTTGCGAAATTGTTTAGCATACATGACAAGGGATCAACTATCTTTGAATCAGACGCACCCATAGTTAGCAACGGAGCGTCGAATTAAAAAAAAACAACACAACAAACACACTCCCAACAGTCACACACGTTTCCCTGGCAACAGCACCATGTGGCACAGTTACTAGGCCAAACACACGCAGAGAATTCTCATACACACACAGTGATAACACGACGTCTTCACACACAAAGATTCACCAAACACTAGATACTTATCTCTGTAACTATAGATCAAACCCTGCAATCATCCACGCAGTAAATCAACTTTCAATTACCCGACTATAACACACTCCAGTGACATCGTCTTTACAATCAGTAGTTATGGTACAGTTAGCAAGTGGTTATGGTAGTTTTAGAATCACAGGTCAATTAGTAACAGTTATGGTGTTACACATATAACACAAAACAACAGGTTTTTAGTAGTTATATACAATACACAATTTCAGTAATTATAATACATGTTAGTGGTTATGGTACCGTGCACTATTATACAGTTATACACACAATTTACACTCTCACTAGACAGAAGAGCTCAAGCTTTCTAGCCGGACATACAATTTAACCAATTCACCAACTACAGTATATCTAACAATATTTACAATAATCCCAACTATTCTAATTGGCCAGCACCTTGAGAACTATCAAACTATTTACACCAGGATTCGGTTAGTCTACGCTGCCCAAGCACCACATATAGCGAACTAATGAGCGGAATTTACAACAGGACTCATTTAGTCTATTTACTCTATCAATAGTCTAGTGGTTGAATTTACACGCCTTCCACTTAGCCAAGATAGGTTGAGATCTAGCAGACGGAATGTACACCAAAATCTGCTTCGTCTCCCGGTCCCCCCGACCTAGCGACCAAAATTTACACTTTGACACGCTAGTCAAGACAGGACACTGATGTCCGACATGAACTATTTACACCAAGATTCAGTCTGACCCAAACCACCTGTATTAGACGGGCTGACTACAGAGCGTCTAATGTCAACATAACACGTGCGCCTTCGCTTCTTCCTTCCAGAGGGAAGGGGCAGATTCCATACAACCAAACCAATTCCAAATACAAACCCCTTGTGGGCCTACCGCACTAACGGTATTAATCTTACCTCTTCGTTCCTGGACCTGGGCTTCACACTCATCGACGGGGCACCCCGGTACTCACTGCGCAGAAGCCGATGATCTGCTGGACAAAAGGCCAGTGGCGCCGAGACGAAAAGAGGTCCACGCAGAAGTCCAGGGGTGCTGCCGTGGAGAACGTTGGTAAAAGTTTACTGTGTCAAATCTCTGCGCCAGCTTCCGTGCGATGAGGTTCCCGGACCCAATGCACCAAAAATGTTACCGGAGGGGGCAGTAGCTGGTGAAACCACCTCCCTGAACTTAGTTTTTACATGTTGGGATGTCTGTATAACCCGTGTTAACCGTTTCTCCACGTGAAGCTCCATATTATTTAAAAATTATATTAAAGATTTAAGAATTGACGTCACAGTCCGTTTTTTTTTGTACATTTATTTTTATTTTTTTTTCTCAAAATAACTTGTAAACGAAATGCATTGGTGAGACTCACAGGTCCCCAAACAATCTGCGTCACTTTGGGACACGCAGGTCCCTTACATTGTAAACACTTGGTCACAGTCCGCTTTTATCCTGGCACAGTGAGGGCATGCTTACTATGCTGACGGACAAGTGAGAAAGGCAGAGTTTATAACCGTGATTGACAGGTAGCTAAAATGTAGTCTATGTAGTCTTGAGAGTTCCCAAGATAAGGATTTTCTTTGAGGAGACGTTAACATAACATTTTAAAACTCTCACGATGTGTATTTAATATTTTTCTCAGGAAAATAAAAAAATAATAATCTGTAGTGCCGTGAATGGTGGCCTATGGCAATGATCACTTGCCAACCATCAAGCATACTAGCCAACTGTTTCTAATTTGGCGGGGTTGTACTAATATTTGCACAACTGACAAGTTTGTTTTTTTCCTGATTCATTAAAAAATACGAATGAAGCTATGTGTCTGTCTAATAGAAGTTTTAACCCAGTTGCCAAATTACCTTGTGTAGAAATATATGCTTATTGGGCAATGTAGGGCTTTTACCTCTTTTTTTGTACATTTTTTTTATTTACTACAGAACACATCATCCCTCCATGTATACACACAGTACCACAAATCTTGTTACAGCTCATAATAAACATTTTTATTTTACCAACATCTCATACATTTCGTCAGACCCATTCTCGTTTTGGGAGCTCCCATATATGTTGAGCTCCTCACCCACCACCCTCCAAGTTCAGTAATTATCAACAGTGCAAATATTAGTGTGAAGGCGAGATGGTGCTTAGAACTCTGTGATATCCTGTTCTAGCCCATTAGCATGGCTGCTCATCTCACAGATGCTTTCGTATAAGTTTTCCTCGGCTTGCATTGCTAGGACCTTCGGAGGTGAAATATGCTCAGAACTCCTGGTGTTTTTCCCGTGAACATTCCCTGTACTTCCGCAAACATTTATGGTATCTTCAGATTTCTTTTTCTTGTGTACCTTCGAGTACATATCTTCAATCTGCAAGACCAAGGTCAAAATGAATCATAGTGGTCGGTGAGGAACTGGCACAATTTAGGTCAAAGTAGCCCAGTTAGGGAGAGATCTTACTGAGGACAGTCTTGCTTCTCCAATATCGAGCTTGTTGGCAACCTAGTTTAACCACCACCTCAAATAAATTCACACTTGTGTTACTAAAGAGTTATCCAATCCCTTAAAATCAGCCTTTAAAATGACACTGTGACCTGAACTTTTCCTTCCATAAATTAGTTTAATACAATAATGCAAAAATATTAATATTGCCGTCTGAGCACACTTCAGTTTATTTGGCTGGAATTACCAATCGAATTACTGTCAATGTTTCAATGTGGAGGCAGCCATCTTGGAATTGTATCAGAAATGTGGTACATTAAAAGTCTTAGTGACACTGAAAAAAAATAATTTTGTTGTTGTTTATGAAACAAATTGCTCAACTGAATTAAAAAGTTAAACACAAGGTATAGAGAATTTTTAAAATGTCATATAATGGTTACATAGACAGTTTCTAATTACTGAGACACTTAATCTCAACCAGCACATTTTTAGCATATTGCAGAAAATACCTCCTTATCAAATAGGGTACGTATACGGCCACATGTCCTTTTAGGCGCTATAATTTTGTGGTGACAGTATACGCTGGTAAATAAGGTTTGAATTCCCAATTTCCACACATTGGACACAGCGTTAAAGTTCCCCTCAAAGTCTAATAGGAACACACACTAGAGAACTCTAGAAAAATTAGCACTTATACAATCTTACTCTACCCGAGGTTTGCAGGAAGAGTAAGTTAATTTACATTAAATGCCATGCCTGTGCCTTTTTTGAATGTAGTTGTGATGTAAGAGTGCATGGTGTCCATGAGCCTAAAATCTGGATGGAACACTCACCTTTAGTCCATCTGGTCTGTTTATAGGGCAGGGGTGAGTAACATGAGGGGGTGCTGAGATGTCCCCCCCCTTTTTCAGCTTCCTTACACATGCATACTCGTCAGTCACTGCATTCTCTGACGGGGGACACCTTGAGCCCTCCAGTTCTGTCGGTGTGTTCACTCTTTCATAAAGAGCTGTGTGTTGTGGTTTTGTGTTGTACAACAGGTTAGAGTAAGTGGTGTCGGATGGCGGAGCACACGGAGGGCGCTGCCACATCCAGACAGGATCCATACTCACTGGTCTGAGCTCTGGGGGAGAACAAAGGGTTAATATCTGGAGGAGAACAAAGGGTTAATATTTAATGAGCGGTTCGTAGACATCAGGACAGTATCAGGGCACGAACTTCAATACTGTAGGATTTCATCATGTTTATTGGTTTATTTCTAGGATTTATATAATTGATTTTATGGTTTTAGACTGTGTGCTTCACACATTTCTATTTGGAAGCTGCCCTGGGAGGAACCACGTATTAGGGTAACACAGAAAATTAAACAGAGAATTAGAGAACTCTCAGAACGAACAAAAGCTTAGAGGAACTCAGTAGTTTGCCTTTCAGTAAATCCCCGCTCAGGTCTCAAAATAGATTTTGCTCACTTGTGCCATTACAGAGAGAACCAGATCCAAAGTATAGCAGACTGATCCCACCAACAAAGGCAGTCCAGAACCGAAATGCCGGCAAGCTCTCTATGCACAAGAGAAACAGCAACTCGGACGATCGGTTCGGCCTGCTTTGGGCCTCGTCAGCGAGGTGTAGCCAATTCCCCTCTAGGCACAGTAAGCACAGGGTCCATATCTGGATTACCCTTTTAACTTGGGGAGAGCCAAATTACATTGCATTGCAACAAAAACAAAGTAACACTGTAAAGGAATTGAAGAATGCTCAGGATGTGTATAAGGCTAACGCAGTAAAGGAATTGAATAATGCTGGGGATGTGTATAAGACTAACACAGTAAAGGAATTGAATAATGCTGGGGATGTGTATAAGGGTAACACAGTAAGGAAATAGAAGAATGCTGGGGATGTGTATAAGGCTAACACAGTAAGGGAATTGAAGAATGTTGGGGATGTGTATAAGGCTAACACAGTAAAGGAATTAAATAATGCACAGGATGTATATACGGCTAACGCAGTAAAGGAATTGTAGAATTCTCAGGATGTGTATAAGGCTAACACAGTAAAGGAATTGAAGAATGGTCCATATCTGGATTACCCTTTTAACTTGGGGAGAGCCAAATTACATTGCATTGCAACAAAAACAAAGTAACACTGTAAAGGAATTGAAGAATGCTCAGGATGTGTATAAGGCTAACGCAGTAAAGGAATTGAATAATGCTGGGGATGTGTATAAGACTAACACAGTAAAGGAATTGAATAATGCCGGGGATGTGTATAAGGGTAACACAGTAAGGGAATAGAAGAATGCTGGGGATGTGTATAAGGCTAACACAGTAAGGGAATTGAAGAATGCTGGGGATGTGTATAAGGCTAACACAGTAAAGGAATTAAATAATGCACAGGATGTATATACGGCTAACGCAGTAAAGGAATTGTAGAATTCTCAGGATGTGTATAAGGCTAACACAGTAAAGGAATTGAAGAATGCTCAGGATGTGTATAAGGCTAACACAGTAAAGGAATTGAAGAATGCTCGGGATGTGTATAAGGCTAACACAGTATAGGAATTAAAGAATGCTCAGGATGTGTATAAGGCTAACACAGTAAAGGAATTGAAGAATGGTCCATATCTGGATTACCCTTTTAACTTGGGGAGAGCCAAATTATATTGCATTGCAACAAAAACAAAGTAACACTGTAAAGGAATTGAAGAATGCTCAGGATGTGTATAAGGCTAACGCAGTAAAGGAATTGAATAATGCTGGGGATGTGTATAAGACTAACACAGTAAAGGAATTGAATAATGCCGGGGATGTGTATAAGGGTAACACAGTAAGGGAATAGAAGAATGCTGGGGATGTGTATAAGGCTAACACAGTAAGGGAATTGAAGAATGCTGGGGATGTGTATAAGGCTAACACAGTAAAGGAATTAAATAATGCACAGGATGTATATACGGCTAACGCAGTAAAGGAATTGTAGAATTCTCAGGATGTGTATAAGGCTAACACAGTAAAGGAATTGAAGAATGCTCAGGATGTGTATAAGGCTAACACAGTAAAGGAATTGAAGAATGCTCGGGATGTGTATAAGGCTAACACAGTAAAGGAATTAAAGAATGCTCAGGATGTGTATAAGGCTAACACAGTAAAGGAATTGAAGAATGCTCAGGATGTGTATAAGGCTAACGCAGTAAAGGAATTGAAGAATGCTCGGGATGTGTATAAGGCTAACACAGTATAGGAATTGAATAATGCTCAGGATGTGTATAAGGCTAACACAGTAAAGGAATTGAAGAATGCTCAGGATGTGTATAAGGCTAACGCAGTAAAGGAATTGAAGAATGCTCGGGATGTGTATAAGGCTAACGCAGTAAAGGAATTGAATAATGCTCAGGATGTGTATAAGGCTAACACAGTAAAGGAATTGAAGAATGCTCGGGATGTGTATAAGGCTGACGCAGTAAAGGAATTGAATAATGCTCAGGATGTGTATAAGGCTAACACAGTAAAGGAATTGAAGAATGCTCAGGATGTGTATAAGGCTAACACAGTAAAGGAATTGAAGAATGCTCGGGATGTGTATAAGGCTAACACAGTAAAGGAATTGAATAATGCTCAGGATGTGTATAAGGCTAGCACAGTAAAGGAATTGAAGAATGCTTGGGATGTGTATAAGGCTAACGCAGTAAAGGAATTGAAGAATGCTCGGGATGTGTATAAGGCTAACACAGTAAAGGAATTGAATAATGCTCGGGATGTGTATAAGGCTAACACAGTAAAGGAATTGAAGAATGCTCAGGATGTGTATAAGGCTAATGCAGTAAAGGAATTGAAGAATGCTTGGGATGTGTATAAGGCTAACGCAGTAAAGGAATTGAAGAATGCTCAGGATGTGTATAAGGCTAACACAGTAAAGGAATTGAAGAATGCTCAGGATGTGTATAAGGCTAACGCAGTAAAGGAATTGAAGAATGCTAAGGATAAGGATAAAGGATCAGGATAAAGGCTTAAGGAAATAACGGCTTTAACGGAAATAAATAATTCTTGACAACCTAATAATGCTATCCTAAATAATTAACAAGTAAATCAGCCTGAGATTTGCCGAACTGGCGTTTACAGCAGAAGTCAGTTACTTAGTGTCCACTTACGGGGGTTTCCTGGTTGGGCTCTCTGGATCTCATGCAGTTTGGTGTCAGATTTACTGAGTGATCGAAGCTGCGTCTGGCGGAGCAGGGACTGCAAGAGACGGTGGCAGTGATATCACTCAAAGCCAGTTTATACATGATACAAATGCTACACCCTAAATTCTGTCCACTACTGAAACCCCAAAATGAAAAAAAAAATAAACAAATCTCTCTTTTTCCTTAACTGCTATTATACAGACATTTCCCTTCAGTGAGCAAACATTCTGCTTCCCAAAATATAAAACATGGCCAAAATGCAGTCACTAGCTATTGTCGAAGTTTAACTCTCACAATGCTATGCCAGAATGAAGGATGAGGAATACTTTGGGAGTTTGTAACACTATATCTAGGGGGCTGCTCTATGGCACGTCTACTGTAGCAGAGCTTTGTGCATCTTCTCTGGGCCAGAATTGGGTATTACTGAAGTACTGGCACCCTGGCGGCGCCTGGATTTGTAAACCCAGCTCTATTGTATAGAAAGCAGAAAATGTATTTACTGAAGTCAACACTCATTCGTCAACCACTTGAGTTTGCATGAATCTGTCCTGCCACGTGGGACAGTTGCAATGTTGTATGAGCAATAAAATTAATCATCACCTGTGTTAAAAGTATTTTAGGTTTGTTTTTTTAATGTATTTATTTCATTTTTTTTATATTTAAAGGTGGCATTATAAAAAGACACGTATTTTGATTTTCAAGAGGTTTGGGAATGTTGGGAGATGCATTAAGGTTTATTTTAATAAAAGTATATTAAAGCTAGGATCTGAGAGGTTGTAGAGGCAAGATGTGCTATTTTGTATAATGTGGCAATTCATTTTTATTGGTGCAGCATGCGCATGCCAATGACATCATAATCACCGCTACAAAGGACTATGGGAATGCTCTACATGGACAGAAAGTACATTCCTGTGCATTGAGTGACAGTGTTACTGTTTATCCCCCCCTGCCCTCCCCATGTGATTGCTTCATGTACCACGTCCACAATGGGTGCTCGGGTGGTGCAAATATTCTGCATCCTCCTCTTCTTCCTGAGGAAGAAAAATAGGTTTTTGAGCAAAATGGATACAGAATTCGAATGTATTTAAACATACTGCATTCGTTTTTATAAATAACAGTTATATTACTCTATCCCCAGCTATGCCACACACATTAACATAACATTTACACCGCTCCAGATCACTCATTCCCCAGCTACGTCACACACATTAAACTAAGCTTAAAACACATGCCACTTTAGCCTCCTTAGTGCTAGCTGACCGACCTACCGCTCCATGAGCTGCCTCACACCTTAATTCAGTCTCTATGTCACTCACATAAATCTGAGCTCAGTAGCACATACCACTCAGTCCCTAACCATGTCACTCACATTAACATGAGCTCAGTAAAACATACCACTCAGTCCTAACTATATCTCTCTCATTAATATGAACTCAGTAACATATAACACTCAATCCCTATCTACTTAGCTCATAGTATGAAGTGCTCAGCAACAGAAGGCACTCGTTCTCTAACTACATCACTCACATTAACCTGAGCTCAGTAAAACATACCATTCACTCTGTAACTAAGCCACTTACATGAACCTGATCTCGGTAACACATACCAACCAGTTTGTAACAATGTCACTGATAATAACTTAGCTAAGCAACACAGTCTATTCATATCCATTCTATCCATAGCTACATCACTCACAGTAAACTGAGCTCAGCAACACATAGCACTCAGTCTCTATGTCATTTACATTGTCCTGAGCTTAGTAAAATATACCACTCAGTCCGTAGTTACGTCACTCACATTAACCTGAGCTCAGCAACACATACCACTCAGTCCATAACTACATTACTCACATTAACCTAATCTTACTAACACTTATCAATAAGTCACATTAACATAATCCCAGTGACACACATTGGTGATTTGTTACCATTGAGTGTTCCGGAGACAAATTTAGGCTTTCTGCTTTTTTGCAGTAACATACAAGCCTCATAACTCTTACAATAAACAAATAAAGGAATAAATACAGCCATTTTGAGGGTTTAATAAATGACAACTAAAGCTGTTTGAGAAAAATACTGAAGCTACAAATGAAACAACATTCTAAATAATTAGATATGATTGCTTGTAAAATGTTGTGCTATGAGGAATCACAGTGATATAAATAAAACATCACATCAAATGTTATCAGAAGTCATTCCTGTTGGGAAATTAGTTGTCCAAACAAGATGGCTGCTCCCGTTAGCCTTTCTTATTTACTCCTGTGATGTTAATTTGCTAACCAAGATGGCAGCTTCCTGTAGGCCTAGCTAGCTCGTTTGGAAATACAGCTCATAAGCAAAGCTCACGACATGGTAAAAAGACACACATATTAAATAAAAACCCTTGCGGCCAGTCAGGATCCAGTAAATTTCTCACACGATAACCACTCCTCATCCACCATTGACGGTTTCCAATTTGTAAACACATTGAGGATGGTTTATGAAGATCCATTCTTTGACAAAATCCAAAAAAGTGGAGCAAACCTCAAAAGAAGCCATTGGAACGCTTCTGCTAATAGCAACCAATTTAGAACTTTGACACAAAATTTAGCTTCTTACACAAGGCCTAGATTGGCAAGCTACCACCCACAGCTCTGTTGTCTCGCTTCCACATAATCATCATATTGGGTTAGCCACCTACCTCTGTAAGGCTTAACCAGACTTACCGTTTCTTGCAGACGGTGCAGAGTGCCCAGAGCAGAAAGAAAAGCCCGATTGCAGCACAGAATCCAGGGAATGAGAACCCTGAAGAGGCCTTCTGCACATGACCTGAAGCCATGTGCGCAACGTCTAATAAAGATCTGTGCGAGAAGCAGACAAGAAACAGCTTAACAGAATTTGGGTGGAAACCATGTAAAGACGGAATCCTGTGCACACAGCATCAAGGCCTGCTACATTGTATGAGCTACATAGAAAACCTTTTTCTAAGACTTGGTGCCAGGATGTCAGTGCTGTCTGTTTTAGGGTGCATCTTGCAGTAATACCCTTTGGGACTTGCTGCGTGTGCAGTTATACCGCTTCCTGTCTCCTTGCAGGTGTCTCTATGCAGTACCGAGTGGTGTGTGAGTGTGTGGTTTGACACAGAGAGACAGCACCAAGACAAATTTCTTGCAATTATGGTTTAGGCGGGCTTTAAGGAACATTCCTCCTTTAATTATAGAATTAGTGACTCTTTCCCTCACTACAGAATTTGATCTAAAAATGTTTATATTGCTGTAAAAAGAATCAAATTATATCTCAGTGTAAGAGGGATAACATATCAAAAAAACAAAAACAGCCTGAGATAAGAGAGAGGCTTAGTAATAGCAAGGCAAATGAAAGTATGGTTGAATACATATTACCCAGGTGTTGGGAGGAATGATGTATGAACAGCTGTCTGGGAAAGGGCCAAAAATTGGGTTGAGATCTTTGCAGAGATAATCTGATAACCCCAAGCGTTGGGGACAGGAGAACCATGACAATCAAAACCTCATCAACAATATACATTACGGCAGAAAGTGTTGAGTGCACATTGCAGCTTAATTTCACGGAAGTGAAGATTTACAGGAATAGTGGATAATAGATACTTAACATCAACATACAAAAAGCCTGTGTTTCAGAATCTACGCATGAACTGCTATTTGTGGCTTTTTATGAACCGATAGAGAATTTGGAGACTTTTACTACATCTTCAAACTCTAAGACACTCTTCCTTGCAGCCTCCCACCAATTTCTCACCTTCAGAGAGGACATCCAGCCATTGCCTTGCTGTGATCCTTCCTAAATCCCCTCTTTAAGAAGGCACCTTCTCTGGGGTAGCTGCGAGTGCAGGTGACAGGCTGAAAATGTGATTGCGAAATTTCCTACGGAGTACAAGGTGTACCTAGAAGATGAAAGTATGTGAGGGGCGAAGGCCTGGTAGTGTATAGTGAGAATTGGTGGTGTCTGCGTGGAAGATGAGTTTATGAAAAATCCACCATCTCGAAAATTGGCTTGGAAATACAAAAGGTATTGTAGAAGATGACAGCGATTGCAAATGGAGTGTGATAGCAAGATGAAGGAACAGAGATCTACTCAGTGAGCGCAATCACAGAGCCCTTACAGGAAGCTGGGTGTGACTCCATCTCAATGCTTTACAAGGGAGGAAGGAGGGGGAGATATACACAGGTGGGCAGCAGAAAAGACAAAAGAGAAATATATTTTAAAAAATCCAACATTTATTTACTCAAAACCGATATATTACATAATCTGGGGGAAATCAGGTAAATGTACAGTTTTACACAGCAGCATATAGCAAACTGAAGTCTCAATACAGAGAGCGAGTGCAGATATTACACTGTGCACACTCAGAATTCCGTCATCTTCTTGTGAGTGTCTGCTTTTTTTTGCTGTCTCTGCAGAGTGCGCTCCTCCTGCTGTAGCCCCGTCAGCTCCGAGCGAGCATTCGATAAGCGTAACTCCAGCTGCGAGCTTACAACGCTCTCCCTGCAAAAGAACAGAAAACCCAAAATAGTCTTTTGAATTCACCTTCGGCACAGAAATGGAGCCTGCAGAATTAGTTTACATGCCTTCCCACACCCTAAAATAGCTATGAATTACTAATCCATGTGCATTAAGATATTTTTTCTTGAAAGGCCACTGCTGTCAGAATTCTTCAAATTTGTCAGTATGTGGTGTTATTAGACTGAAATAAGGTAAATAGAACAATTTCCAAAGTCAGAGGGAAAAAAAAAATGTTAAAAAAAGACAACTTTCCAGCAGTCAAGTCAGGCTCAGATAGCCAGGCTCCAAACCGCAACTCGCCTACGCATAGACCAACCATAGAAACCCAGCCCTCACACTACCACCACACCCAACATAGTTCACGCCACGCAAAGGGACGGGGAAACCGCAAACCTATACCCTGTGCCGATGTCAAACTAGCGCCCAAGGACCCCACGGGGCAGCACTAATCTTAAACACTACCCTCACTATAGGCATAGTGAACACTCCCGATATGACCAACCAGCCCGTTATACAAAAATGTGCAGAACCCACTCCAGCCCAACTCACAGGAAAAACGCAATGTTACTATATTTCATGCTTATGCTGTTGTGGCATTTTTCTTACAAATGTTTGTATCGTTATCAATGCACCAAAAATAAATAAATAAATAATAAAAAAAAGACAACCTTCCAGCCTGGAGTGTTTCTCTATACTAAGGTATAGGATGTTATGCCTCAATCGAAAGCGCACAGCTAAACTACACTTCCCAGAAACACTAGTGCTGATCAGATCAGCTGTTCTACACGAAGGTCAGTGAGCATTGTGACTGGGATGAGTTAGTTCTTGATTTTGTGAGAGCTCACACAAGCATTTGAAAAACATAGGGACTGTTGTCTATACAATGCATTAAAAATAATTGAACAAAAGTAAAAAAAAAGGTTCCTGGGGCAGTGCAGCACAGTGTGACTGACATTCAGTGTCTCCACTTTCTGCATGGAGACACTGAATTTTCCTCATAGAGATGCATGGATTAAATGCATCTCTATGAGGAGATGTTGATTGGCCAGGGCTGTTTGCCTTGTGCTGGCTCTGCCCCTGATCTACCTCCTTGACAGTCTCAGCCAATCCTATGGAAAAAGCATTGTGATAGGCAAAGAGAATCACTTCTGGTGATGTTAGCCAAGCAGGCAGATCAGGGGCAGAGCCAGCAGCGGCAGACTTGAACAAGATTTTACTTTATTTAGGGAGTCAAGGGGGGCTTGATGGTGGTTTTAACATTATAGGGTCAGGAATACATGTTTGTGTTCCTGACCTTCTAGAGTGCCTTTAATCTAGTCTGGTGTCTATAGCCGACAGGCTTTTCAATGTAAATGTTGCCTTTTCAGAGAAAAGGAAGTGTTTATATTACTGACTAGTAAAACCTCTAGTGGCCACTAGAAGGGCTTCCTAGTCTAGTGCAGCACTGGCGTTCTGCTTCTCCACACTGTGAATGGAGATGCTGAACGTTCCACATAGAGAAGCTCTAAATCAACTCATCTCTATAAAGAGATGCAGATTGGTGCAGCATGTTGTTTTGCCGTGCATGTGTAAGAGCCAGCCGAGGCGAGTGAGAAAAAGTGAGGGCACCGGCCACATAAACAGCCACTTCAGCACTATAGTGTCAGAAATACATGTTTGTATCCCTGATACTATAGTGTTCCTTTAAGAGAGTTTTCAGAGTTCTGCTTTTTAAAAATAAAATTTCTACATAATTTTGCAGCAATTTCTAGCACATTTAAGAGATAGAATGGCTTCATTTTCCACTATTCCCTCATTACATGCTAATTTAAAATGAAAACGTTTGCAGAGATGGGTCTTTCAATGTTTTTTACCCACTGGTTTTAATAAGAAGTGCGTTTTTTTTTTTTTCCATTAACACCAACATATCTCTCTATCCAACCTCACTCACCGTCCAACGTTTCGCGCCAATGCTTCCGTTAATCGACCAATCTCTCGCTGTTTTTGCTGAATCCTTTCTGCAGTCTTGGCAACTTGCACATTCAGTGCTCTTTTGCTGTCCTGGCTGGCATTATACAGCTCCTTCCCCTTTCGCTCTGTGATGCTTGTGGTCTTCCCAGCCTCACTGTTAGAGACTCTTCCAACCAGCTTCTCATTGAGAAAGTCAAAAACATTGCGGCGATTATTGTCCGTCTGCCGTTTCTTCCTTTTGACTTTTGGTGGGTTCTGCCCTTTCCCACGTTTCTTCTGCTGAATCCTTTGCTGAATCTGTGCACATTGGTCCAGGGATTTACCTTTCGGCAATACCACAGCCAGGATGGGCTCAACTCGCCCTTCCGAATTCTTTCCAAGACCTAAAACATTATTAAAAGATCCTACATTAGAATTTCAACAGGATTGGTCTGCAGATTTTTAGTTGTTATGGTTCCAAGTACGCCTGCTGCTGCATTTTCACACAGAGCAATCACATTAACAGGCAAGTTAGAAAACAGAATAGTCCCATCCAGAGAAAAAGGTGACGTTCTCTTAAAAAAAAAAACACAAATCCATTTACATAATAAAAAAATAAAAAATAAAGTTTAATCGAATGCCATAAACTTAAAATAAATAAATAAAATAGAATTTGATGACAGTTTAAGCTCTACATCATTTTACAGAGTTTTATCAAGCAAAGCTGCTTCCCGATTGTCTCGTTGGTGCATTCATCTAATCTGAATCCTAATCAAGGTCAATATGAATATGATGACGTAAAGTTTACGATTCCGTTCTCCCATAATAACAATTCCCAGTTTAATAAATTAACCCATAAATGTTCACTATTGCAAAAATGTGGGTTTCGCAGTCAAAGAATCACTGTCCATATGATGCTATGTCATGTAAAAATATTTAACCATTGCTAGATTTTAGGAAGGAATATAATAGTGTTTTATTGATGATTTTTAAAAATACAAAATTAAGTTACTGACAATGAGTCCCGTCAGACCCACTCACCTTTTCCAAACTCGTATCCCATTCGAGCTAGAAGCTTGGACCCAATCCCTCGTGTGTGAGCCTCCCATCCCGCAAATGCAGAACTGCATGGTATAGTTTCTCCACTCTCCTCGGTCCCTCCAAGCACTGCAAACAGAGAAAGGGGGTCATACAACGAGCCAATGTTTTAGGTTAAATGGCTACTGTGTTGAAGTATGTAACGCCATTGACTAGCTCAATACAGTGTGTGCGTTTTTGCCTACCTTTGGCAAACCCAGAATCTTCGAGTCCTTCATATTCTTCATCTTCAGAGGAAGTTGAACTGTCACTCTCCCGAAGTGGAGGAATGATGGCATCAGCCTCTAAAACTGATTCTTTGAGAAGCAGAGAGTCGAACTTCACAGTGTACAAACCGTCATTAACATCTAAAGGATACGGAGAGAGAACAAGGCAAGTAAGTAAAGGCAAACAAAAAAAAACCAATGGATGTGAACAGGGCATAATATGGGGGTGTGAATGGAAAGAAAATAGTGGAACACATGTAGAACGAGATCAAGCATAAAATAAAATAACAAATTTTTAAAAAGCGAATGTGGGTAAAAAAACAACAACAAAAAACACAGACACCGCTCCCACCCCAACGCGTCTCAGTGTAAAAAGTCATAAGGCAGCAACTGACAGGAGACCATGTGAGAATCCCTAACAATTACAATAACCATGATGCATCTTACCTATAATTCGTCCTGGGTACCAGATACCATCATCGTGCTTGGCAAGACAAGCAGTATCGATACCAAGACTGCCGAGATCTGGGTCTTCAAATGTTCGGAGTTCGTCAACAGGAACCACTTGGCCATGGGAAAAGCTTGAAAAAGGAAGAGCAAAGACCTGCTTAACTTTTATGTCCAACCCTGGCCCTATATCTATATGATGGACAAAAAGAAGAAGGGAATTGTAGGAAATGTAGTCCAGCAGTAGCTGTACACCCAATGTTAGATCACCATGTTCTGCAAAACATTAAGGCAAGATGTCATGGTGATAAAGTTCCTTACAGGGAAATTGGGAGTTAGCCATAGTTTCTCTATTCCAAGTGTTGTTTCACAACCTTAATAGACTTGTCTTTACGGTAGATGATGGTATTCTGTTTTTTTGCTACTCTTTTTCAGTGTGAAAAACTAATAAACTTTCATTGAAGAAAAAAGGACGAAATATTTTTTTTAGAAATTGCAATTTTTACAATGCACACCTATAGTTGCTGTCATCCAACTCCAAAGTGAGTTTAAAAAAAAAAAAAATCTCTTTGAATTTACACAATATAACTACCCGGCAATAGCTACTCACCGGCAGCTCTCATTGAAACGACACTTTCCATCCAGGAAGTATGGACATGGCTTCATGGCTTTATGGGTGGGATAGAGGTATAGAACGCGTACCCCGGGACTTCCATCCTCCATCTGCTCGGAGCCGACAATCATTGCGTTGTGATACTCCAGGGTGCCCCATGTGCTGTAATATGGAGCCTTCACCTTCATCCCACACGTGTCTTCCTCTTCCTCCCCCTCTTCTTCCGAATCATCTGGACTAATAGCTGCTGCATTATTGGTCACTGAAGACTGGACGTCCTGGCTCAACTCACCGATGGCTTCTCTGAAAGCTTCATACTCATCATCGTGCGCTGCTGTGGACCGAGGCCCTTCTAGCGCTGACAGAAGGTTACATTTCTGCACAGATAACAAGCTGGATTCGGTTAGTTCTATCAGTTGCTGTAAATCCCCCTGGAGTTGAACGAGATCTGCCTGCTGTGACGGGTCGGCACCAGCACCCAGGGTCAACTCCACCTGCTCTAGCTGAGCCCTGTATGTTTGCAAAGCAGCGGCCAGGCTTTCCTCATCCATTCTGTATAATGGGTTTTTACTCTACAATGCCCTCCGTGAAGGCACACATCACTGCAAAATGACAAAAACATGGAAAATAGGGATCCATTAAAGCAAGACAATATTACAAAGCTAAACCTTTCCCATCACTGCTCAAAAGCACTAGAATTGGAAGGATTTACATTCTCAAAAGTAGAAATTGATTTACTGTTAACACAGAGAGAGCAAATGTCCAATCTCCACTGAGATCACTGACAAAATACACAGAATTTAGAGTAAGAGACACTCCAGTACTGCACTGATGGTAACTTCTTAGAGGGAACTCACAAAAAATACCCCCTTTCTGTGAGTGCCCTCTAAGAAGACTGCTCTGATGGTAACTGCCTTTTCTGAGGCCCATGCTGCATTCACAATATTAGATTGCCCAGAACAGAGCATTCTGACTGCCTGGTTGACAGTGTGGTGGAGTCCGTTATAGATGTCTGATTTTCACATATTGATGCAGTTTAAAGGGATTCTCCAGTGCCAGGAAAACAATCTGTTTTCCTGGCACTGCAGGTCCCCTCTCCCTCCCACCACCCATCCCCTTCAGTGACTTACCTGAGACCCCCGCCGATGTCCCTCGGCGGTGGTTTCGGGTCGCCGCAGCTCCTCCCCTTCATCACCTCAGCTGGCGGGGAGACTGATCCCGTCCGCTGGCTGAGCAGACCTAATGCGCATGCGCGGATTTGCATTAGAGCTCTCCGTAGGAAAGCATTGAAAATGCTTTTCAATGCTTTCCTATGGGGAAATGGGCGACGCTGGAGGTCCTCACACAGTGTGAGGACGTCCAGCGACGCTCTAGCACAGAAAACCTGTGCTATGAAGCAGGAAGTACCCTCTAGTGGCTGTCTAGTAGACAGCCACTAGAGGAGGAGTTAACCGTGCAAGGTAATTATTGCAGTTTATAACAAATTGCAATAATTACAGTTGCAGGGTTAAGGGTAGTGGGAGTTGGCACCCAGAAGACTCCAATGGGCAGAAGTGGTCTGGGTGCCTGGAGTGTGCCTTTAAGCTAGTGTAAGACTGAGAGTTGTGCAGGTAGTCTCTGTACCATCTAAGTATTTCAGTTTGCTTTAGTGCTTTATGTGTGAAGAATGTGTCTGTTTTAATTTTACAAAAAGTGCAGATTTCAGTGGCAATTGGCACTTTTATAAATGAGCCTTGTTACACACCGTGTATGTCATCAGACAACAGGTCCTGAAGCTAAACCCAAGAGGCAGCAGCTGCCCAGAGCACCTGCCTTGCATTGGGAATTCTGTGATTGGACAGTCACAGAAAATCTGGGCGGGGTTAGAAAGGGATGACTTGCAAAAGGCTGCAAACAAGAGATCCGCAGCTTCTGTAAGTGGCTTTTTTTTTTTTAATATCCCAATGGGAAAAAAAAAAGTATAATTCAATGCAATTTTGATTTTGGAAATATATCTACTAAACTATGATTTTTGGGGGAAATGTCTTGTTAAAGACACTTCCTCATTATTCCCCATTGTACAGGAAGCCATCCAACCTCGCTGCTCCAACTCTTAGAACAGGCTTCCCCAAACTCCGGCCCTCCAGATGTTGCTGAACTACAACTCCCATGATTCTATGAATTAAATAGATAGGCTGAGAATCATGGGAGTTGTAGTTCAGCAACATCGGGAGGGCCGGAGTTTGGGGAAGCCTGTCTTAGAGACTACCTTCTGGACTTGCTGATCCCAAAGGAGGGCTGGCAAGGCATCAATTTCCACCGGTCCTTACAAAAAATGGGTCTAAGCCTTGAAGCAGAGTAAAACAAGAAAGGGGGCAGCAGGCAGGACATGAGCAGGCTAAGCTATGGTAAATATTTATACATTTTATGGAGATATTCACAGGTGGCTGTGAGGTTAGATGAGGCAATGCTTATCACAGAGAGTTCCATCACAAGTACAGCTTGCCATTGGTTACATTGTAACATAGATGTTGTGGGAAATAGAGTCTGTGTCTCTGAATGCACCATCATGCCTCGCAAGTCATACTGATGGAGGTTGCATTGATATTTGACAACACTCGGGACTAGAGAAGCCTCCATGTGTCAAATCTATATATTGCATCCTCTGCATATACCAGACAATGCGCACAGAGATCTGATTTTTGTGCACATAAAAGAAAGTGCTATGTGTTTCATACTTTCCCTGAGAGGCCAAATTCTGCCAACCATTCTCTGACAGCACCGCTTAGATGTAACCACCTGAGCTCAGCGTGCCCCCCTACTGGTGAAGGGTCTCTTACTCTAGAACAGTGGTTTCCAACCCAGTCCTCTAGCACCCCCTAACAGTCCAGGATTTAGGGGTTACACTGCTGTGTCTAAGGTGTATTTGGAAAAGAAAAAAAAAACACCTTGGACACAGCAGGGTAATCCCTAAATCCTGGACTGTTAGGGGGTACTCGAGGACTGGGTTGGGAACCCCTGCTCTAGAACATAAACTCATTTGAGCAGTGCCCACAATACCCTCTGTTCCTGCGCGTCAAGCTTGTCTTGTTGCAAATACGTGTCTGTTCATCCACCTGTTGTGCAGCGCTATGAAATTTGTTGGCGCTATATAAATAATAACGGAAGTGGACGAGCCTCCCGCCACTACCATAGGTACAAACCTCACCCGCCCACAATAAGGGGCTTATTCAGTAAACTGTAATGAATGCAAAATAGACTTTCACAACTTAGTCAAACAAAGATGATTTGGGGAAGTAAAATCTCCAACTTTAGCCTACATTTTGCCATTCAGATTTTATTTCAATACAATTAGTGAACAAAGCAGTAAAATAGAGGATCTCATGTCTAGTCCATCATGTGAGTGAGTGAGTGTCCTCCCATGAGAGGTCTCCTACCCTCCAGTGAGTGCTGCTATAATCTCTCTCTCTCCCCCCTTCCACCCCCCCTTTATATATTATTTATATTATCTGATTATCTTACCCAGCTCACTCCCATCCAGCCGCCATGACACCGGTTTATTGATGTCACTGATCATAGAGTACCAACAGTGAGACAGACAAGACCAGTGGCCATCTTGGTAGAGGTAACGACATTGGAAGACGGCCATCTTGGAAGAGGCAGGTATTATTTCTAGTATTCAAATAACTGTGTTTTAGTCAAATAGCTCGCAGTTTGCGGTTAGCTTCGTACAAAAAACAAAAAAATAAACACAGAAAGGTAATGACTTCTCTTTCTCTGCTACCCCAGTCACCTCTCTGGATAGTTAGAAATGCCACAACCAAGATGGCCGCCCAAACCGGACACTGATGGTCAGCCTGACTTCCTAGAATGGCGTTAAGCTGACGTCAGAGGTGCAGGGTTGGCGAAGGTCTGGAGAGAACTGATGGGGTGTTATTAAAAAGGGAGGTGAGTGTGTTTCCTAGAGCCCCCAGGGCATTGTGGGTTAAAGTGTGCAACCCCCTGTTTATTGAATAAACCCTGACATCCCCTAAACATGTAAAGCACATGTAATGTCATGGCAGCTTGTGGGACCCATGTTAGGATATAGTACCTGCACCCATAATAGTTTGGAGTTAGAGTGTTTACTAGTATTCATACAGGAAGTCCTAACAGCTGTAAGGATGGCAAAGCATCATGGGAGTGGTAGTTCTGAAAAGGCAGGGGTGTTATTTTTGGTCTCCCCTAAAATAGATAAGTGTGTGGCTCTATGCTGGGCGAAGTTGCTATGGTAACATGATTTTCTCTGTCTGTTTGTCTGGACCAGGGTCTCATCATGTACACGCTGCTCTCCGGGCTGTATAAATACATGTTCCAGAAGGATGAGTATTGCATCCTTATCCTGGGTCTGGACAATGCCGGCAAAACGGTAAGATTGAACGGCAGGTGGGAACGGAAGATGTATATCAGTGTCCAATACATGAGCTATCACAGCTGGATATACCAGTATCAGATACATGAGAGATCTCAGCTGGATATACCAGTATCCGATACATGAGAGATCACAGCTAGATATACCGGTACCCGATACATGAGAGATCACAGCTAGATATAGCGGTATACGATACATGAGAGATCACAGCTAGATATACCGGTGTCAGATACATGAGAGATCACAGCTGGATATACTGGTATCCAATACATGAGAGATCACCGCTAGATATGCCAGTATCCGATACATAAGAGATCATAGCTGGGTATACCAGTGTCCAATACATGAGAGATCACCGCTAGATATACCGGTATCCGATACATGAGAGATCACAGCTAGATATACCTGTGTTAGATACATGAGAGATCACAGCTGAATATACCGGTGTCAGATACATGAGAGATCACAGCTGGATATACTGGTATCCAAAACATGAGAGATCACCGCTAGATATACCGATGTCCGATACGTGAGAGATCACAACTAGATATACCGGTATCCAATACATGAGAGGTCACAGTTAGATATACCTGTATCTGATTCATGAGAGATCACCGCTAGATATACCGATACGTGAGAGATCACAACTAGATATACCGCTGTCCAATACATGAGCGATCACAGCTGGATATACTGGTATCCAATACATGAGAGATCACCGCTAGATATACCAGTATCAGATACATGAGATCATAGCTGGATATACCGCTGTCCGATATGTGAGAGATCACAGCTAGATATACCGCTGTCCGATATGTGAGAGATCACAGCTAGATATACCGTTGTCCGATACATGAGAGATCACAGCTGGATATGCCAGTGTCCGATACATGAGAGATCACAGCTGGATATGCCGGTGTCCGATAGATGAGAGATCACAGCTGGATATGCCGGTGTCCGATAGATGAGAGATCACAGCTGGATATGCCGGTGTCCGATACATGAGAGATCACAGCTGGATAGGCCGGTGTCCGATACATGAGAGATTCGAGCTGGATATACCGGTATCAGATACATGAGAGATCACAGCTGGATATGCCGGTATCAGATACATGAGAGATCACAGCTGGATATACCGGTATCAGATACGTGAGAGATCACACCTAGATATACCGGTATCAGATACATGAGAGATCACACCTAGATATACCAGCATAAGATCTAGGAAAAGATAGATATACTATATCAGATAAGGAAGAGGGCACAGCTGGATATACCAACATGAGATATATGAGAGTGCAGAGCTAGGCATTGCAGTAAGACCTACAGTGTAACTGAAATTAATCCGGAGACACTGTGCCAGGCTGTGTATTAGTGATTCCACTGGAGACACTGTGCCAGGCTTCGTATTAGTGATTCATCTCTGGAGTCCATGTGCCAGGCTGTATGTTAGTGATTGCTCAGGAGACACTGTGCCAGGCTGTGTATTAGTGATTGATCTCTGGAGTCAATGTGCCAGGCTGTGTATTAGTGATTGATCTCTGGAGTCAATGTGCCAGGCTGTGTATTAGTGATTGATCTCTGGAGTCAATGTGCCAGGCTGTGTGTTAGTGATTGCTCAGGAGACACTGTGCCAGGCTGTGTGTTAGTGATTGCTCAGGAGACACTGTGCCAGGCTGTGTATTAGTGTTTGATCTCTGGAGTCAATGTGCCAGGCTGTGTGTTAGTGATTGCTCTGGAAACACTGTGCCAGGCTGTGTGTTAGTGATTGCTCTGGAGACACTGTGCCAGGCTGTGTGTTAGTGTTTGATCTCTGGAGTCAATGTGCCAGGCTGTGTGTTAGTGATTGCTCTCTGGAGACACTGTGCCAGGCTGTGTGTTAGTGATTGCTCTCTGGAGACACTGTGCCAGGCTGTGTGTTAGTGATTGCTCTGGAGACACTGTGCCAGGCTGTGTGTTAGTGATTGCTCTGGAGTCAATGTGCCAGGCTGTGTGTTAGTGATTGATCTCTGGAGTCAATGTGCCAGGCTGTGTGTTAGTGATTGCTCTGGAGACACTGTGCCAGACTGTGTGTTAGTGATTGCTCTGGAGACACTGTGCCAGGCTGTGTGTTAGTGATTGCTCTGGAGACACTGTGCTAGGCTGTGTGTTAGTGATTGCTCTGGAGACACTGTGCTAGGCTGTGTGTTAGTGATTCCTCTGGAGACACTGTGCCAGGCTGTGTGTTAGTGATTGCTCTGGAGACACTGTGCTAGGCTGTGTGTTAGTGATTCCTCTGGAGACACTGTGCCAGGCTGTGTGTTAGTGATTGCTCTGGAGACACTGTGCCAGACTGTGTGTTAGTGATTGCTCTGGAGACACTGTGCCAGGCTGTGTGTTAGTGATTGCTCTGGAGACACTGTGCCAGGCTGTGTGTTAGTGATTGCTCTGGAGACACTGTGCTAGGCTGTGTGTTAGTGATTCCTCTGGAGACACTGTGCCTGGCTGTGTGTTAGTGATTGCTCTGGAGACACTGTGCCAGGCTGTGTATTGGTGATTGCTCTGGAGACACTGTGCCAGGCTGTATATTAGTGATTCCTCTGGAAACACTGTGCCAGACTGTGTGTTAGTGATTGCTCTGGAGACACTGTGCTAGGCTGTGTGTTAGTGATTCCTCTGGAGACACTGTGCCAGGCTGTGTGTTAGTGATTGCTCTGGAGACACTGTGCCAGGCTGTGTATTGGTGATTGCTCTGGAGACACTGTGCCAGGCTGTGTATTAGTGATTCCTCTGGAAACACTGTGCCAGACTGTGTGTTAGTGATTGCTCTGGAGACACTGTGCCAGGCTGTATATTAGAAGTGATTCCTCCGAGCATTACTGTGCCAGGCTGTGTGTGTTGGGTGATTGCCTGGGAGACACTGTGCCAGGCTGTGCATTGGTGATTGCCTGGGAGTCAATGTGCCAGGCTGTGTATTAGTGATTCCTCTGAGACAAATGTGCCAGGCCGTGTGTTAGTGATTGCTCCTCTTGAGACACTGTGCCAGGCTGTGTGTTAGTGGATTGCTCTGCACCGTGCCAGGCTGTGTGTTAGTGGATTGCTCGGGAGTCAATGTGCCAGGCTGTGTGTTAGTGATTGTTCTCTGGAGTCAATGTGCCAGGCTGTGTGTTAGTGATTGCTCTGGAGACACTGTGCCAGACTGTGTGTTAGTGATTGCTCTGGAGACACTGTGCCAGGCTGTGTGTTAGTGATTGCTCTGGAGACACTGTGCCAGGCTGTGTGTTAGTGATTGCTCTGGAGACACTGTGCCAGGCTGTGTGTTAGTGATTGCTCTGGAGACACTGTGCTAGGCTGTGTGTTAGTGATTCCTCTGGAGACACTGTGCCAGGCTGTGTGTTAGTGATTGCTCTGGAGACACTGTGCCAGGCTGTGTATTGGTGATTGCTCTGGAGACACTGTGCCAGGCTGTATATTAGTGATTCCTCTGGAAACACTGTGCCAGACTGTGTGTTAGTGATTGCTCTGGAGACACTGTGCTAGGCTGTGTGTTAGTGATTCCTCTGGAGACACTGTGCCAGGCTGTGTGTTAGTGATTGCTCTGGAGACACTGTGCCAGGCTGTGTATTGGTGATTGCTCTGGAGACACTGTGCCAGGCTGTATATTAGTGATTCCTCTGGAAACACTGTGCCAGACTGTGTGTTAGTGATTGCTCTGGAGACACTGTGCCAGGCTGTATATTAGTGATTCCTCTGGAGACACTGTGCCAGGCTGTGTGTTAGTGATTGCTCTGGAGACACTGTGCCAGGCTGTGTATTGGTGATTGCTCTGGAGTCAATGTGCCAGGCTGTGTATTAGTGATTCCTCTGGAGACAATGTGCCAGGCTGTGTATTAGTGATTGCTCTGCACTACTTAATTGAATTTTATTTCTCTCATACAGACATTTTTGGAGCAAACTAAAATCAGATTCAGTCGGAATTACAAGGGGATGAACCTTTCTAAGATCACAACCACCGTGGGACTAAACAGTAAGTGTATCTGGGGTGACTATTGTAAAGGGCAGTAGGAATAAGGAAAATATATTCATAATTACCGATCCATGGCAGCATCACTAATAGATACCTCTTTCCCTCTCGGCTAACAGAACAGGAATTAAAAATAGACCTCCCCACTCCTAACCCTCAGTCTAGTTACAAGTCTGTGAGGTAGAGAAAAGTGGGGGCAACTGATGCTGCCATGGATCTACCTGGGAAAAAGAAAATTACGGTAAGTAATCCATGGCAGCATCACTAATGGGTAATACACAAAAACACATTTACAAATGCAGAAATAAATTTACAAACAGAATTGAGAACCTCACAACCAAACTGAGAGTCCTTAGCAGCCCTGACATCAAGACAAATATACTACCGGAACCCAAAGTCGCTGCCTTGCAAATACTCTTGATGGGAATCTTTGCTGCAGCTGCCCACAAAGAAGAGCGAGACCTAGTCGAATGAGCCTTAAATCCATCTGGGATTTGAACATTTTGAGTGTCATAAGCTTCAATAATTGCAGCCACTATCCACCTGGAATAAGAGAAAGTTTATTCGACTTCCTTCACAATCCCATGGTCTAATTCTTTCTAAGGAAATGGAAAAACATCTCCCCACATTCAAAGTGTGCCAATGTGCTTCATCTTCTGTGATGGTTTAACCCCAAAAGTTGCCTCCAGCACCAATCTCCAGGTCCTCCAGAATCCCAGAATTTAGGCAATTAAAGTCAGCAGAACCTTGGAGAAAGTGTGAGGTGCCATGCTTAGGCCAAAGGGTAGACTGCATAACTGGAAATGTTCCTGTAGGATGGTGAATCTGAGAAACCTCTGATGTTTTTCCGCAATGGGTAAGTGGAAGTAAGCATCTTGTAGGTCTGTCTGGACAAACTAATCCCCTTGATGAATTGCTTCTGCAATAGATTGTACAGTTTTATATATTGTCAGTCAACACTTTGCCCATCTCTACGTGGACAATTTTCCAAAAGTGTTGGAGTGTCCTGCACTCCCACCACACGTGCACCATAGTGCCCTTTTCCTCTCCGCATCTCCAGCAGCTATCTGGGTCAGGAGATATTTTGTGTAAGCAGTCAGGTACCATCAGGTCAGTATTTTAAAGCTAATTTCCCTGAAACGGGTGCTAGGGGAGCCCAGGTGGGTTATGGTGTTTATCTTTGTCTACTGTAAAAGATCTCCCTAAGTCTTCTTACCATTTTGCCATGTATGGTAAGGGCGCTATCTGTGGTCTAGATAGTAATAGTCGGTATAGTTGACAGATGCCCCTATATAGGGACTTCCTTGAACTGGATGATTGTTCTAGTGAGGTTTTGTTTAGGTGTGATTGAATGATTAAAGTGTGAGAACTGTATAAATCAAACATTTTCAAGGGGGGAGAGTTGTTTGTCTGGTAATAAATCTGAGCTGCATGTTAGCACGGATAGTGTATGCGACCCAAACGGGTGCATCAAAGTACACGCACATGCGCAAACAACACTTCCAAACGCCGGGAGTATATTTATCTGAATGAGTAACTCAATTTAGATTTAAAGAAAAACACCTATAGCACCAGGCCAGCAGCTATAAGGACTGGAAAAAGACAGAAGGATTGGTAGGGTAGGTCTCTTTTATAATCTTTATTTCCATTTCCTGTCCTGGTAGTAAAGTAGGGAAGGAGCTACCCGTTAATGATGCTGCCATAGATTGTCCAAGAAAGACTTTTTCCACAGTTCTGTTAATGTTACCAGATCCTCGCTCTCCTTTCTTGAAATGTCCTGGCCTGTGGTATGTAGCATTTATATGCAGCACTAAATAAATCTGTTTAAAGGAATGGACTCTGTTATAGATCATCTACAACAAGAGCTAAATTGCCCCTGGCCCCCTCTACCCATTGCCTTGCTTACACAACTTCGGGTGCTCTAAGACCGGACCGTAAAACTGTTCCTGGAGGCCGGGACAGCCGCAAAACCCTCAGCGGGACCAGGCGCCAATGTCGTGTAACTCTGAGTCGGCCTGTTCCCTAGCGGCTGCCCAGTGAAATGTACAGCCGGACTAACTCCGTAAAATTAAGAGCTACAGGAGAGATTTTTGGAGAGGAGGTAGAGGGGAGAGAGGTGCCCAAACAATACCTAAGACCCAGGGGGAGCCCCCCTTCTCCATCCCACAATCACCAAATTTTAGTAACCGGCGCATAGAGCGCTCAACGTTGTTAAGGCAAGGAGGGGGGTAGAGGGGACCAGGGGTGATTTAATTCTTGTCGTAGATGGTGTATAAAGGAGTCCTGCACTTGTTGGCCTTGTGAATTTACAGGCCCCCACCACAAAATACTCCAAACACCATAAGCAAAACAGCCCACTGAAGTGGTTATGGTATCAGGAGTGTCTTGGGGCACTTTCAAAGTAAGTAGTCAAGCAGTTTGTCAACTAATCTGAATCCAGCTGGCAGGCTCCAGATGTGTGAAGAGTGTCTTACGGTTTCATTTTACAAAACAGGCAGATTTCAATAGAAATTGGCACTTTTATAAATGAACCATTTTACTGTCAATGACCTCTGTTAGTTTATCTCAGTGGAGCAGCAATTGCCCAGAGCCACCTTCCTTGTAAAGACTTCTCATTTCCCGTCTCTTTCAGTTGGCACCATCGATGTAGGGAAGGTCCGGCTGATGTTCTGGGATCTTGGCGGACAGGATGAGCTGCAATCTCTGTGGGACAAGGTGAGGAGTTTGGGGTAAATGTTTCTAACGGAATAACTTAATACACTTTACATACAAGTTAATCTTTTACAGTGCGGGTTGCATTGTGAGTGAATAGCAAATTATTTTTTTGTGAGGTTATGCTGACGTTTTTATCCATTTTTATTGTTTTCTATTACAAAACACACCTTGGAGCACTTAACGTAATGTACCTTACTAATGTGCCCGAGGTGGCTTGCATCATTGTATTGTACCTGTTGATTAAGTTATTCCAAAAACAAAAAAATCACTCTGCATGTTGCTGTGCACAATCCGATAACTATGCCTTGACTACTGTATGTGAACATCATGGGCGACAGCCCACATAATGTATTTTTAACATGCTGAGAGACCAATAAATAAAGAATAAAAAAAAAAGAATATTGCTATTTATTGTGATTTGTGTAGTGCATTCATGAATTGGCTACCTGGTAGAGGTGGTATGACCGATTTCGGCATTAGAAGGATTAAAGGACCACTCTAGGCACCCAGACCACTTCAGCTTAATGAAGTGGTCTGGGTGCCAGGTCCTTCTAGGGTTAACCCATTTTTTTATAAACATAGCAGTTTCAGAGAAACTGCTATGTTTATGAATGGGTTAAGCTTTCCCCCTAATCCTCTAGTGGCTGTCTCATTGACAGCCACTAGAGGCGCTTGCGTGCTTCTCACTGTGATTTTCACAGTGAGAGCACGCAAGCGTCCATAGGAAAGCATTGTAAATGCTTTCCTATGCGGCGGGCTGAAGGCGCGCGCAGCTCTTGCCGCGCGTGCGCATTCAGCCGGCGGGGAGGATCGGAGGCTGAGAGGAGGAGGAGAGCTCTCCGCCCAGCGCTGGAAAAAGGTAAGTTATTACCCCTTTCCCCCTTCCAGAGCCGGGCGGGAGGGGGTCCCTGAGGGTGGGGGCACCCTCAGGGCACTATAGTGCCAGGAAAACGAGTATGTTTTCCTGGCACTATAGTGGTCCTTTAATTTGATTGTGTAGCAATGTGATATATGTCAGAAGGTTTACATCATGAATCCCTCTTTGTAAGCTGTGACTCCAACCAGAGCTCCTGCAAGGTGTGAAGTGGTACATGAGTTGTCTCCAAGTCTGCATTCATTCTAAACTAAGTGGCTAGTCTGCCATGTGCCTGTATGCCATCATAGATAGTTGATTATTTTGATATGCTAAATAACCATTAGCCGTCAGGGGGCCATTGTCTGCAATAGTCCTATCCCAAAAAAACACTAATAACCCACAGATGAATAATCATACCTCCTTTTGTGCAGATTCAGAACGGCAAAGGCGCACTCTACAAAAAGAGTGCAAATATAGCTAGCCATTCGGAAGGAACTTTGAAGTCTCTGGTATTGAGTCATAAGTAGGAATTGTGACATCTCTATAAAATTGATCAAATGCAAAATGATTTTTGCGACAAACGCAAAAAAGAAACTAAAATAAAAACTTCTATTTGTATTGGTGTTAGTCTGAGACACAAGGGGGAGTTCGCTTATTGTTCCTGTAGGTAAGCCTCCCGCTGGGCCAGCTTGGAGCTATAAATCTAACGATGGGCAAATGTCTAGTGTGCTTCGTAGTGGTTATTATCTTATTGTGAGTAAGGTTTTTTTTTTCATTTCTCTTCTTTGTTTGTAACTGTTGTTGTAAATAATTTATTTGTCATCTGTTTTTTGTGTGCACTGCGACTATTGTTTTGTTCATGATAAATTTTCCTTTGTTAAGTTCTGCCTTTGTCTGGTAAAGACTCACATTACCTGATTAGACCAACTTATTTGTAATTGTAAATTACATAGACATTGTGGATTGTTAGTTTAATTTACTTGGGGGACCAAGGCACCCCATTTATAAATTGGTGGCAGCGTTCTGATATTATTTATATTACTAGGAAAGCTACAATTTCTGGGGAAATTGTGTGTGTGAAGTGTTCTTGCCTCCACCGGTAGTCTATAACTCCAGGAAAGAGTAACTGGGTGGAGTGGCTTGAGTAACTGCTGTGTGGTTGGAGTGGCTGGAGTAACTGTGGAAAGGTTGGACTGGGCAGAGTAACTGTGTGGAGTGTTTGGAGTGAGTAAAGATAGTAAACATTACACTGACCAATTGATTTATCAAATTTAAAAAGTGCACATGGCAAGCTTGATAGAGTGAGAAATGCATTTCAACTTTTTTTTTATTTATATAGCACATTTAATTGCAACGTTGTTGCCCAAAGTGCTTCACAGTTACATTAAAATATACATTTATAAACAAATTAGCAGGTGTACAAAAGGCCCTGTCTATGACATCACTTGCTGCTCCAGCCTGGCACAGGTCAGAGTATTTTGGTGGTTGCCATCTTCAAACGGTCGTATTTTAAAAACTATAAATCCTACAGCGAAGAGCTTTATATTGTGAGAATCACAAGACCCAGACCTACATTTTGATGCATAGTATGTCTCTGAAATATTAACAATGAAGGCACAGTCGCAGTTTAGAAATTGCCCTTCAGATTTGAGCTGGCTAGAGTGGAGTTTCAATGAATGTCAAAGGACGGCGTGAGTTGCAAACAAATGATTATATTGTGAAAACTATCAGGACTACGGCTTAGCTGTTGACATGTTTAGTGGCAGCAGGGATAGCTGAACGTTTTGATATAAAATTTGTGTAGGTGGGCCTGAAAATAAGGGAGTGGTGGCAGTTTAGAAATCATGTCCTGATTTTTCAGCTTTTGCCAGCTCTCACTCTAGTTTTAAACATTTTGCCATTCATTCCTATGGGACCAATTTCACCACAAGAGCGACGATATTCCGCGAACCATTCGGCAAAACGTTCCACAAAGTAATAGCAATCCAATCGGGAACAATCCGCACTTTTCGGTATATTTCTGTCTATGTAGTGTAAAAACTGTGGGAGGAGTTAGGGTGGCAAATTTGGCTATAATAAGAATAATAATATATATGTGAGATAACAATAAGTGTTCTTGCAAGAACACTTAATAATATATATGTGAGATAACATTAAGTGGTCTTGCAAGAACACTTAATAATATATATGTGAGATAACATTAAGTGGTCTTGCTATGCAAGAACACTTAATTATAATTAAATGTGGGTGGTGTTAAGGGGGATTGGTATCATGATTTCTAGTCCAGTGCAGACAAACATTGAATTTTAACCCTTTCACCCCCAGAACCAAGTCACACGCACGCTTGGAGTAGGGTGTGTTTGTGACATTATGGACTACATCTCTGATAATGCTCTTACAGCTATGATGCTGGAAAAGTATCAAGGGAGTTGTAGTCCACAACATCTGGAGTGCCGAAGGTTACCTACCCCGGCCCTACAGCAATAAGGCTTGGAAGGCTGCGGATTCAGCAGACACAATCCATTAAGTAAGTAGCTTACTGGCATTTTAAATTGGCCCTCCCTGTTTGAATTGACACATTCTTTTAATGAAATATGATGCTAGATAGTGTATTTAAAAATATGTAAAATCATTTATATCAAAATAATAAGAGGTTTTAACAAAGCATTACTCTTATAAACTATAAGAAACTTAACTATAGTTTCTTATAGTTTATTACTCTTATAGTTTTGATATTTTGTTCATATCCCCATACATAACTTCATCATCATAGTTTGCCTACTCTAGAAAGTAGCTTGTCCATTCTAGAGTCCCTCGTTTTGGTCTCTGGAATCTAAACTTTTGGATAAGTCTAACACAGCACTACAACGGTTATATTACGGTGCTCAGCTGCTTAGCAGATCCCATAGTTCTGTTTGGAACAGCAGTTTCTGTGACTTGTAGTTCATGTTTTAGCGTTCTCATTATGAAAGCTGTTTGTTGAACTATAACTCCCAGAAAGCTTTGCTGTACTTACTGATAACGTAAACAACGGTTATTGGACACCGCAGGTTAGGAAGGAGGGACAGAAAGAGGTGTGACGCAGGAACAATGATCTGCAATAAATTATACAAATGTATATATTTCTTTTTTTTCAAAACCTGTATAGAAATTGTCCATGCAAAATGAAATAGAGCCAAATATAAAGGTAAAGAGATCCAAAAATGCATTATGCTTTGTTGGTGCATGGTGTCCCTTTTTAAGATATACTTATTGCTACTTCTGACTCCTTTTTCCTTCAGTATTATGCAGAGTCCCACGGAGTCATTTACATGATCGATTCCACGGATGAGACTCGTCTGTCGGAGTCAAAGAGAGCTTTTGGTGAGTTCAAAATGATGATCCTAGTTGCTAGTGGACTAAATGGGGGAGGGTCTTGTGTCTTAATGCTGTTCTGTCGTTTGCAGAGAGGATGATTTGCAGTGAAGCTCTGGAGGGGGTTCCTATCCTTGTATTGGCAAACAAACAAGATGTAGAGGTAAATTACAGAGGAAAAAGTCAATGTGCAGCTCTCATCTGCCATGTCTTTAGTAGTGAGGATCACCCTTACCAAATCCCACCAGTTATTCCCCGTTCGTAACCCTCTATAAACTGCCCACTATTCGTTTTTAATTCGTGCACATTTATGCTAGATATAACTAGCAGGTCCGTATCTTACTGCACAGTAATAAAACATAGTGTGCCTGGGCCTTCTAAAAGTAGAATCATATAAAAAAAATCGGTAAATACGGAGCGTGATAAGGTTTTTGGAGCAGAGTATTTGGGTCTGGTATTTAAATTGAATCCCAGTCACACTGCAAATAATTCTGCAGCCTAATTTGTAGATATAGACCCATACGTTTCAAAATATTCCTAGATCGCTTGTATTGACAATGACAGCGACACTTGGTGAGGATATGAGATGTATCATAATTGGAAATATTAGTTGGAATCAGGCACTTTAACCAGCAGGGGGAGCCCTGAGTCCATGTGTTCCATTTAAAGGACAGTTGTCATCAAATTTCACTTCTCGTTTTATTAAAATGTTTTGCATTTAATGAAACTTGGTGATATTTTGTAAATTATGTATATTGATTTTTATTTTTTAATTTATAAAAATTCACTTTTTAACTGGCTGAGCAGCCAAGTTGGGTTAGACTCTATTGTTCTCTGACCAACTGCTACTCAATCTAACTTGCCTGCTGCTGCGATTTTGAGCAAGTTAGGTTGGGCAGCAGTTGGTCAGATATTATTATTGTCAGTTTTTCTATAGCGCCAACTTATTCTGCAGCGCTTTACGATATAGCCAGTAGAGTCAGAGCCAACATGGCCGCTCAGATAAATGAAAAAAAAAATTTTTTTTTAATTTTCTCAAAACAAATAATCAGTATACATCATTTTAAAAAAATGTCATGATTTTTCATAAAATTTTATAAACATTTAAAAAAATTAAAAAGAAACTTTTGATGACAGCTGTCCTTTAAGAATTCCCCTCACCTTTCCAATAAAATGATGAGCTGTGTTTTTTAGTTATTTACTATAACCAGCAAAATGAAACTGTCAGCAATATATTATTACAGCTTGAGTCATGACGTGGCCCATGATTCACTTTACTTCTTTCTTTTTAAATTAAGAGCAACTCCCTATGTCAACAGGTAAATGGCGCCAATTATGTTTCTATAGATATCATTCATTTAACAGCAAATCACTGGGAATTGAAACACAAAAGGCCAATTCTAGGCTAAAATGTCAAGCCGTGACTATAATGGGTTTGGACAATGTTTCTGGATTGGCTATTTTTGCATAAATTTTGCAGTTTTGCCAGATTTCTGTTCACTACAGTTTTAATGTTAGCCAATAAACCTATAAAGTGTGAATTGTTGGGAATTAAAATCTTTAGGTTAAATCGACCAAACTGAAAATCTAGCTGACTTGGAGACTTTTCCCACTTGGCTTCTTTGAAATTCCCTTCAGATTCACTAAATTCCTCACAGTTCACACTTTTGTGAATAATCTTAAAGGGACACTATAGTCACCAGAGTAACTAGAGTTTATTGAATTTGTTCTGGTGAGTAGAATAATTCCATTCAGGCTTTTTGCAGTAAGCACAGCCTTTTCAGAGAAAATGCAGTATTTACATTACAGCCTAGTGATAACTTCACTGGCCACTCAGATGGCTGGTACAGAATTAAAGGGACAATATAGTCACCAGAACAACTACAGCTTATTGTATTTGTTCTGGTGAGTAGAATCATTCCCTTCAAGCTTTTTGCAGTAAACACGGCCTTTTCAGAGAAAATGCAGTGTTTACATTACAGCCTAGTGATAACTTCACTGGCCACTCCTCAGATGGCTGCTAGAGGTGCTTCCTGGGACAGTGCTGCATACTGTGACTGACATTCAGTGTCTCCACCCTCTGCATGCAAACACTGAACTTTCCTCATAGAGATGAATTGATTCAATATATCGCTATGAGGAGATGCTGATTGGCCAGGGCTGTGTTTGACTTGTGCTGGCTCTGCCCCTGATCTGCCTTCTTGGCAGTCTCAGCCAATCCTATGGGGAAGCATTGTGATTGGCTCAGACCACCACTTCTGACAGCAGGCAGTTCTAGGGTAGAGGAAGCAACTGCAGACTTGAATACAAGTAGGATTTTACTATATTTAAGGAGGCAGGGGGAAGTGGTGAGGCAGGGGGCTAGATGGTGTTTTTAACACTATAGGGTCAGGAATACATGTTTGTGTTTCTGACCATATAGTGTTCCTTTAAGAGATTACTCCAAGCATTATAACTACTAAAGACCACTTTAGTGGTATGATACCAGGAGAACCCTGGCCTACTTCCCAGTAATGGGGCATTAGTTTGGATTTGCTGGATCCTCTTTTACTGGGTGTGATGTGCTGATTCTGCCGGCCATTCATTGACTGAGCGCTTCATCTGACCACTCTCAGCCAATGAATACAGCTTTGGGCATAAAGTGCGGAAAATTGATATTGGGCACAATGGAAATTTTTTCCGTGTTGGCTAAAGACGCAGTGATATTGCCGGAGCTGGAGTTCATCAAATAGACTCCAGGCACCATGACCACTTCAAATCACTTTGGAGGTGTGGGGTTCCTTGAAATAGTGAGAGCAAAACCCTGAAGCTTGTGGATCAGGGAACTTTGTAGATTTTAACTGTCGCTTGTTCTAGGGCTGCCTCTCAATTCCGGACATCAAGACGGCTTTCAGTGACTGCATCAACAAGATCGGAAAGAGAGACTGCCTGACTCAGGCCTGCTCGGCGCTGTCTGGGTGAGGCCATGATTTCTACTTATTATAGTCCTTTTCAAGCTGAGGGTATACAAAGACGGTCTTATTCACAGAGGTGTGAATTATTTAATGCATAAAAAATGAAGGGATTTATGGGAAACATAGTCCAGCAGTCACACATAGTTTCATTCATGAAAAGACTTACATACACCTACATGCTGGAAAATCTGAATTCATGTTGTTTTTTTTTGTTTAATTTAACTGCAGTATTGCCTAGAAAGCTGACATAAACCATACTAGTTATTTAGAATTCATAGGGGTTTAGAGCTTTCCCTGTGGTTTCACGAGTGCATGGCTTAAAGATGACCCAGTCATATTTTTTTAAGACATGTTTTGTTTAGTAAAACTACGCTTTAAATCACCCCATAATCACTGGGTTCCCTCCCAACGTCCTCTGCATTTTCCTCTTCTAATTGTTCGTTATATATCTGACTCCCGTTTACCATTGTTGCAGGAGAGGCGTCAATGAAGGGGTGGAGTGGATGGTGAAATGCGTGGTGAGGAATATTCATCGCCCTCCAAGGCAGAAAGACATAACATAGGATGTATTGGATCTCAGCAACTGGAAGCAAGTGATTCTAGAGCTCTGGCAAAGAAAAGGGTCTCTGTATGTGGAACAGACTTGGAATCTTCATATCTGGACGCAAACACCTTGAATGTGCTGGTTTTAACTTTTGTATCAAAATTGAGTATAGAAATGTATTTATGTGATTTATTGGCTGGATGATGTCTGTTCCATATTCCATAGCGCCTCCCCAACTGTTCCTTATGAGCTCCACGTTTTTAGCACTGTCGTCTCTTACCCGCACAAGCTCCGGTGCTCCTGAGAGATCGAGAGGACGGCCTCAGTGGTTCCTCTATGGTGGTTTGTGTGTAATACTGAGCAGCTAGTTGTGAGTTAACCTAGCATATACTACTTCTGTCCATGTTTGATCTTAAATTGTGATTTGTCTACTGTCTAAATTACTGTGTCTGGAAGGAGGGGGACTGTCGAGTTTGATAATTTGGCATTAAGAGAATTTCTAGGTCACTGGTATTTGATTTGAATTTGGCTTAATCTTTAACGTGGTTGGCTTGCTCTGTATTTCAAAACACTCCTATCAAAATATACTCACTTGCTGGGCAGAAGAGACACTACTAAAAACATTTTCACCCTAATGGTGTGTGTGTCCCGTATTTCTTGCAGAGGTATCTTACACACGTCCAAAATGTTTATTGCAAATATAGCAATACGTTGTTCTTATTACCTGGTACAGAATTAAAGGGACAATATAGTCACCAGAACAACTACAGCTTATTGTATTTGTTCTGGTGAGTAGAATCATTCCCTTCAGGCTTTTTGCTGTAAACACTGTCTTCTCAGAGAAAATGCAGTGTTTACATTACAGCCTAGTGATACCTCCACCGGCCACTCCTCAGATGACTGCTAGAGGTGCTTCCTGGGACTGTTCTGCACACTGTGCAGCACTGTCATTCAGGGTCTCCTCCCTCTGCATACAGACACTGAACTTTCCTCACAGTGATGCATTGATTCAGTGCATCTCTATGAGGAGATGCTGATTGGCCAGGGCTGTGTTTGGCTTGTGCTGGCTCTGCCCCTGTTCTGCCTCTTTGTCAGTCTCCACTAATCCTATGGGAAAACATTGTGATTGGCTCCGATAATCACTTCTAATGATGTCAGCCAAGCAGCCAGAGCCAGGGATTCAGCAACTAAGAACTTGATTTAATGCTTTTGGATAAGCTTTTGAAATGATCATAATCTGTTAGAAAAACACGTTTCCACTGATTTATCTACAGAAGTCACCAATAAAGTCTTCAGGGATTTGTGTAGATAAATCATTTGAAAGTTTTTTCCCAACAGATTTAAAAAGTTTGATCATTTGAAAAGTTTATCCAAAGTAATTAAATTGAGACCTTAATTAGAAATTGTGGAGCATTTGCAAAGGACTTGCAAATCGCTAAATCGTGAAATTGAAAAACGTATGCAAGCTTGCTCTTTTCTTTTTACAGCTTAAAAATGCTGGATTAAAATTTGCATTCCTCCAGTATTCCTGTTTCAGTGAATTAACACGTTTTAAAAACCCAGAGCATAGATCCTGCTGTGTCATATCATCTTCTGTATATTTTACCCCCATCCCATGACATCATTCATGAAATAAAACTTTGTGCAGATGAGGTGAATTGAAGAATATTTTAAATATTTCTAATTCTTTGCTGACTGTTGTCTACAAGCCCCTGCAAATCCCTTTGTATAGCTAGAGCAGGGTCCAATGATATACACAGCACTATAACGTTCTCAATTTATAGTGTTAACTCCTTCTATGGATCCTGCCTCCTCCCCACCCAGCTCACTGGAGACATTCCGTTCTGAGTGAATCGCACAGAGGGTTACCCACTAAAACCACAATGTAGTAATTCGAAATCTGAATGGAGAAAAGACTAAAATAGTCAAACCGTTACAAAAGCCTAGTTGGATCATTTTTCCAAATCAGCTGTTTTTGCCTAGATATTGAAATTCGTATACCCAACAAGCTACAATTCTGTGTTTAGTCAATAAACCTCATAAAATGTGAAGTTCTGTATTAGGAAGACACATCTTCTATCTCCTCACACTTATTTAGATATTTCCCCCCCCCCCGATCAAGTCTAAACAATTTCTGAAGCCCAGCTCCTCACTTGTTAAAGCAGATCTGTCAATCTTTGCTTATTTCTCAAAAGAATCCAAAACGGACGGACCCGTTGTGGGTGCAGAGGAGGTGAGTTTTACTTATCTCAGGCTGTCCCTTGAGGCCACAGTCATCTTCACGATGCAAGTCCTCTTCGACTCCTGGTGCTTCAGCTGTCAGAAACCGCCTTAGTGCTGTACAGTGGCAAATTACAACACTGGGGTCTATGGAGGATCCCGGAAGACCCTCTGAATCCCAAAAGCTGACAGAGGACCTCCTCCTTTTGCCAACCTCAGGCGTTAACCATAAGACAAAGTAGTCCTTACTTTCTTACGGTATTGGATTGCATTGTTATTTCAGGGAAATCCCAATGCAGACTTCATTTGGCATTTATATGGTTAAATAGATTGATTACATTATAGTTATGATACTAAGTGAGATCATATCTTGTGTTTGCTCATAATCAGTTATTTACACTATGTCTATAACCTGCCTTAATAAGTAGCTAAGGACTAATGATTGTCACTTTCTGATTATCAGGAAATCAATGAAAACACTAGGTGACTGGACCGGGAATTAAAAAGTAGTTTGTGCAAGCAAAATAAATACTAAAAATAATCTAGAAATTTTCATAAACAAGTCAACTTAGAAAATATCGTTATGGCTGTCTCGGTACACGCAAATGCCTTCTGTAAATGACAGAGTATTGAATTTGTCTTTGTATTGTGTGAGCAAATGTATAGATTTTGCAATAATTCAGTCTAAAGATATGGTCTCTCCTTCACCTGTAAATCATTCTGTAGTATGACCCTCTTTGCCTAGATTTGATTGACAGGGGAGAGCCTTTCTATAGGTGTTTGCATGCACTGTAGTTGCTGTGATCATTCCTCTGGAAAGCACATTCCTTGGTTTGTTATTAGAATATAGAGTAGAGTGACAGACATCACTGTGTTTGGATTATGACATGCTGGTAATTAAACCAGTGTGGGGGCACCATGCGCGGGAGCAGGGCCGTTTGAAGGAATTTGGGGGCCCCAAGCAAAATGGACATGGAGGCCCCTCCCGACCCTACGCACGCACGCAAAGCTTACAGGAACCACATCATAGCCATACAGTTTAAGTTCACTTACTCCTTCCCCCCTCCCTATGTTCTTCTTACTGCTGCCCCCTCCCCTCCCTATGTTCTTCTTACTGCCCCCATGTTCTTCTTACTCCTCTCCCTATGTTCTTCTTACTACTCTCTCCTCCCCCTCCCTATGTTCTTCTTACTGCCCCATGTTCTTCTTACTCCTCCTCTTCTCCCTATGTTGTTCTTACTACTCTCCCCTCCCCCGTGTCCTTCTTACTTCCCCCTCCCCCTCCCTGTGTCCTTCTTAGTCCCCCTTCCCCCTCCCTGTGTCCTTCTTACTTCCCCTCCCTATACCACTGAGACACTCCAAGGTCCAATATACCACTGAGACACTTCTTACTCTCCTCCCCCTGTCCTTCTTACTTCCCTCCCCATGTTTTTTTCACTCCCTCCCTATGTTTTTTTTTACTCCCCCTCTCCCCATGTTTTTTTTACTCCCTCCCTCCCCTTCCTATGTTTTTTTACTCCCCCCTCACCTCCACTTCCCTGTAGCGTGGCCGAGCTCCTCTTCCTCCTGGCTATACGGCTCCCCCCCAGCTTTATTGATAATGTAGGCCATGGGTGAACAACCTTTTGGCTTCTCCGGGCCACATTGAGTAAAGAGGAATATTCTCTGTGTACATAGAATATATAATTAATTTATATAATAAAACTTCAGAAGCCATTTTCTTAATTTTATTTCATTTGTTAAGTAGATAACTCTCATATTTGTTATTCTTATGTGGAATTTCCTTATTTAAGGATACCAAATTGAAGAGCTATCTACCAAACACATACACATGTATATACACATAAGCACAGCTCTACACACACACATGCACAATCACGGACCCACAATCACACACACAAAAATCCCATTCATCCATACACATTTAGTAATTAAGAGGTCCACCCAGCCTCCCTACCTTGCTCTGGGAGGGCTAGAGTGCATCCTCTCCCTGGTGGTAAGGGGTTGCTGCCATGATGGGATCACTATGCTGTTCCTGCACAGGTCCTCCGTGCCCAGTATTGATGCCGATGCCGGGATGACATCATATCCATGCTGCTGGCTTACTGCAGGGCACGCGAAAAGCACCATAAGTAATGGGTTCCCTCACCAACCAGCAGCCCGAACGGCAACTTGGGCCGCATTACAAACAGTTCAGGGCCACATGTTGGACACGCCTGATGTAGACCAAACACTTCCTCATTAACCCCTTAAGGACACATGACGGAAATATTCCGTCATGATTCCCTTTTATTCCAGAAGTTGTGTCCTTAAGGGGTTATTAATGTCAATTCCATCCAACCTGGATAACAGTAATAGGCTGAGAACACTGGTAGGGTGTGATTTAAAAAAAAAAAAAAAAATGTATGCAGGATTTTAAATGCTGTTTAAAAATGCAATATTTCATACTATGATTGTAGTGTAGTAATTTATAATTGAAACTCTCTAATGTAACAAAAATAAGTAGTCTAATTAAAAAAAAAAAAATTAGACATCGATTAGAAAAATATTGATATATTTTTCTCAAATAGGATTGAGTATTTAGTACATTTAAAATGTATGCTGATCTGATGTTTATCATCAGTCTTTACAGTCCCTTCGATTATCACTCCCAGCAATATTGCATGCTGTCACATGTAGATGGGTTTTTTTCCCACCGATTTGATAAAAGTAGCTGGCTGTATAGCGTTTCAAAGACGCCAGGCGTGAAACTTAGACAAAAGGAAAACCGTTGCAAAAGGCTGCACATGACTGGATTACTAATATGGTATTACATGACAAAAATCCTGAGTTCCTAGTAATAGATGCAGTTACTGGAACCATACAAACAAAAACTAAAATGTTTGTGAATGAAATTAGGATTTGTGAATCTCAAACTTTATTCAGAAGAAGCCAAACTGAAGGCAAATCATTTTGATTGTTCACTGAGCTCTGTACCAAATTACAATATCCCCTCAAGGACACAGCTACAGAAATAAAATGGAATTGTGACAGAGAATTTCCGTCATGTGTCCTTAAGCGGATATTCAGGCCAAAATAGCCACACTGTAAATATAGCAGGTTTGGAGGACCTTTCCAGAGGAGCCGTTTTTGATTCAATTTTGCCACATGGATATCAACCCACTACACATTCCAGTGTAGTGAATAAGCCTGAGTGTTGGGGAATTTTTCTTATTCAGCAATTTTATTCCTAAAATTGGCAATTCCATTTTAAATTACCCAGAATTTCTAGTTTAGTGAATAAATATCCATTTTATTCACAAATAGGGTGTGACGGATTTATAATGAGAAAAGTAGAAAGTTCCAAATTTATAGCAATTTTGGACACTATGTTCCGTATTGCTGCCGAGTTCTCCTTTTTACATAAACATCACCTGATGTTTACAATCTTCTACAAATACACACGTGGAAAAGGAAGAAGGAAACACGAGAAAAAAAAACAAGAAAAAAATGGGGTAAAAGCAGGAAGTAAGTGGACGGTGTTTTCATTTTAACATATTGTTCGTTGTACTAAGTTTACCCTCAGGTTGAGAAATTCCAACAATTAAGTCCTGTCTTAAAGTTAATAACTGTCGCATTCTTTACTTCTGCAGCTGAGGCTCCATATGAGTTCAGTCTGTGGAAACCTGCAGAGAAGAGTTGTGTTCAATTTGTAGAGAAACGCAGGGTTCCGTGTTCAGTCTGGGGAGAGATGCAGGGTTCCGTGTTCAGTCTGGGGAGACTGTTTTGTCATTTAGCCTCCGGTAATCTACACAGAAACATGTTGTGCCATCCTTCTTGGGTACCAGCACTACCGGCGAAGCCCAGGGGCTATCGGAATGTTCAATAACCCCTAGCTGCAACATTTCCTCAATCTCCTTTCAGGGATACAATATGGGGTCTGCCGCATAGGTAGCTGTCCTGGGGTCTTGACTCGGTGAGTAGCTAGCGGGGTGTACCCTAGTAAATTGGAGAAAGTGGCTCCCTTAGCCGCGATTAACTCCTGTACCTGGGCACGCTCCTGGGGGCTTAGCCGCTCCCCCAGCTGAACACCTGTGGAGGGCTCTGCCTGATCTTCCTGCTCTAATAGGTCAGGTAGCGGAAGATTCTCCTGATACTCAGAGGTTGAGGCGCATATTGCCGCCACATCCTCTATCCTCTCATGGTAGGGTTTGAGCATATTCACGTGGAGCATGCGTCTCTTCCCTGTCCCTGAGCAGGGGCCAATGACATAGGTGGTGTCACATCTCTGTTCCACCACCTGCAGCTTGTCATTGCGAACAGGTTTTAAAATCAAAACTTTCAGTCCCACTTGAAAGCTGCGGTCCCTGGCTCCCCTATCATACCATTGGCGCTGGTGTTGTTGAGCCGCCTGGAGGTTTACCAGTACGGTCTGGGTTAGTGCCTCCAAGCGGTCCCTGAACTCCAGCACATATGGTACAATGGGTGTCCCATTGGTACTACTTTCCCCCTCCCAGTGCTCCCTAATTAAATCTAAAGGCCCTCGCACCCTTCTCCCAAACAGTAGTTCAAAGGGAGAAAATCCCATAGACTCTTGGGGTAACTCTCTGTATGCGAATAGCAGATGGGGTAGGAATCGCTCCCAGTCCTTATGGTCCTCTCCGAAGGTATGGAGCATCTGCTTTAAAATCCCATTGAACCTTTCACATAACCCATTAGACTGAGGGTGGTACGCAGAGTTCACGATAGGCTTAATGCCACATATTCCCCATAGTTGGTGGGTTACTTCAGCCGTGAATTGCGTACCCCTATCCGATATGATCTCCTTGGGGAACCCTACCCGTGAGAAGACTTTCATTAAGGCCTCAGCCACTGTCTCGGCGTGGATATTGGAGAGGGCCATTGCTTCGGGGTACCGGGTGGCGTAGTCTACTATGGTCAAAATATATCTCTTGCCAGAGGGACTGGGTTTTTCTATATCTACGGCCTCTCTACTAAGCGGTTCTTCGATGATGGGCAGTGGGCATAATTTGGCCTTGTGGCGGTTACCCCTCTTGCCTACTCGCTGACAGATGTCGCATGTCTGGCAGTACTGCCGCACATCCTTGGATATACCTGGCCAGAAAAAGGCATGGGTTAGGCGGTAACAGGTGCGAGTCATCCCCAGATGCCCAGACAAGGGAATGTCGTGTGCGATCCGATGAAGTTCCTGTCAATATTTATGGGGTACTACTAGCTGTCTAGTAGTCACATTTACAGACCCTCCCACTACCCTTTTAGCAATACGGTACAATAACCCCTTTTCCCAGGTGTACCGCTCCCCCTCTAATCCGGCCTGGTCGGAGATCACTCTATCCCTGTACACTTTTAACGTGGGGTCTATCTTAACCTCTGGTGGGGGTGTAACGCTATGAGCTCTGTCTCCCTTCATCAATTTGGCAATAAGCACAGCTTTTGACTTATTGCTGGCTATCTTACCCCTGGCTTCCAGTAGTTCCTTTAACATCTGCCGTTTCAATGCAGTGTAATCTGTCTCCATTCACCTCTCTGTTCGGTTCTTTGTTGCATCCGAATTGCCACTCACTTTCCTGTTCGGTAGTTTCAATTACCCGAACACCGCTTTTCGGCTGTAAGGTTAGATCCCGTCGCTTTCCACCAATTGTAGCGGAGCTGCAATATAAAATCCCAAGATCTCCGCTGGTATAGACAGTAATCCAAAGTAAAGCGCTGGAAAAGAAGGCAATATCCCAAATCTCCCAGTAACCGGACAAAACACAGTTCTGGGAGTTAACTGACAATTTTATTCACAGCTCCAGTATTTATGTGATTCCCCATACAAGGGGTTTCCTTAGTCACTTTACAGGGGTATTACAGTAAAGGACTACATGGGGAACTGAATATACAGAGCATTTCTCCTACCATGCACTGCTGTACGTGAGGGATACTCCCACTAGAATATCCTGTTAAGTGGATTATCCCTCCGTACAGCAGCACCGGGTTTTAACACAAAAATCAATAACTAATATTATTTGTGTGATTCCCTTAAATGACCGTTCGGTAGATAGCTGGGGTCTGAGCGCACACTTCGTGAAAGTACCGCTCAGATCCCAGCATAAATAACCGAACGCCGCACGAAATACACTTTATTTCACATTCTCATTAAAATTACATATTAGGGAACAAAATACCGAAAACCCGGTGCTCCAAAACGGCCTGGAAGTCCAGCGGTGTTCGCGCCGTCGAGTAGCCATTTTTAGTTCCAGGCGCTCGACGACCAAACACCGCTGGGCTAACAAAGGATCCAAGATGGCCGACTGCTGCGTGGTCAGTAGCCGAACGACGGCCACCCAGGAAAGCACCTAACTACCGATTGCTACGCTGTTGCAATCGGTTAATGGGAACCACACGACCCTCTGTGTGTGGGCTCCCATTCGGTACTTTATTCGTTTCCGGAACAGTGTCTAAAGTCACTGTTCGTGAAACTACCATATGAATGCTAGCGGCTTTCGGCCGTTAGCATACGAATACTCTTTCTTGCAAACACACATGAATATATCCTTACATACAATAAAAGCAGACAACTTTCCGATGTTATACAGTAAGTCTTAAAGTGGTTAGGTTTGCCACAGCAGGGTTCTGTGTTCAGTCTGGGGAGAGATGCAGGGTTAAGTGTTCAGTCTGGTGAGGGATGCGGGGTTTCATGTTCAGTCTGGTGGGGGATGCAGGGTTCCGTGTTCAGTCTGGTGGGGGATGCAGGTTTCCGTGTTCAGTCTGGTGAGGGATGCAGGGTTTCCGTGTTCAGTCTGGTGAGGGATGCAGGGTTTCCGTGTTCAGTCTGGTGAGGGATGCAGGGTTTCCGTGTTCAGTCTGGTGAGCGATGCAGGGTTCTGTGTTCAGTCTGGTGAGGGATGCAGGGTTTCCGTGTTCAGTCTGGGGAGAGATGCAGGGTTCCATGTTCAGTCTAGGGAGAAATGTAGGGTTCCGTGGTCAGTCTGGTGGGGGATGCAGGGTTCCGTGCTCAGTCTGCGGAGAGATGCAGGATGCTATACTTAGTCTATGTAGAGTTGAATGGTTATGTGTTCAGTTTATGGAGAACTGCAGAGTTCAGTGTTTAGTTTGTGGAGAGCTGTATTGTTCAGTTAGATCTATGTAGTATTGTGTGGCTTCGTGTTAAATCTATGCAATGATGTAATACATAATACATGTATAATACAGATCTGATAAAATGGTTTATAGAACTCTTTCGTGAAATTGAGTCTGTCTGCTAGGGTTCCTTTCTTTATCGTGACAAGAGGTTTATTGGGATCTACAGAGAGATGCAGGGTAAGTAGTGAGCTGCAAGACTCTGTCAGCTCTGTGCAGAATGCTGCTGGGGTCTAGGCCAGCAGTACAAAGAGCTGCAGGATTCACTGCTCTCGATTTGCTTCAAAAGGTTTCTGCTCTTCTTGATAACCTATAATATTGCCATGAAAAGACAGAACTCGATTTATAATGCCAAGCATCATCACAGCACCAGGTACACTGCTGTACATGATACTCTAATGACACAGAGTACAGCAGGGTACCCTTAGCTTTGGGTTTAAATAAACACTCCAAGCACCACAACCACTACAGCACACCGTAGAAAAGTTTGACATCTTCCACGAAATCCATTATCGGCCTCCAATATCTTGAGCAGCAGAAATACCTGATTCAGCAGTAAAAAATTATTCACAGCAGACATCCATTCATCATGTTTGGAATGTCCCTTTAATATTTAATAGTTTAACTTCACACTGTTTGTCCAAAGTTTGCTTATATTTTATTACACGTGCGTTGGAAGAGATATACCTGACCTTGCAGTGTCTGAAAATGAAGATTTATTGAGTGCTTTGGGAAATTTATTTGTTTCCTTTACGCAATGCTAAAGGTAAGTTCCTGTTTTGTAATAAAGCATTGTGTAACAGCTTCTAAATCTTCCTGGATGTTGACGTGGGAGGTTTGAGAATTGTTGGGAAATCAAAGTGAGTTTAAAATGCCACTTCCACGTTCTTGCTTATGCCCCTTGTATCTTAATGACTCCCTCCCTTACAGTTTCCCTTTATTTATATTTTATTCCTTGCGCTGGATCTCAATACATGGGAGCAGCCATTTTGTTCTCATCTGTCCATAATGTCTGTAGTTTGCCGTTCTGTGGGATTCTTTTGACTGGTGGATTGTGCGAAAATTAACTTAGTAACTAAAACTGAACTTTTCTTTAAGGGACACTGCAGGCACTATAACCATTTTATCTCATTGAATATAGTCCTCTGTCGCTGTCCCCTCCATTCTGTATTAAGTCATTGTCAAGCAGTTTAATATTAAATAATGGTCCATGGCCACCAACAGCCCAGCTCCCACTGGGGTACGGCTAAGGCAGAGATTACAGACTTCCTTTAAGCCATATGAGCAATGAGGCGTAATCGGTTCAAGCAATCACAGCCGCACATATTCATGTCCTTAGCCCAACCAGCAGAGGAGGCTAGGCTGCCATGGACTCTCATTTCGCACACAAACATTACAAATAATTTGAACGCTGAATGGCAGGACGGCATCAGGAGATTTCAGACACCATAACTACTTCAGATGAATACGATGAAGCCATAACACAATCTATAGTGTCCCTTTAATCTCCGACAAGAATTGCCAGAGATCATGTTCCCCATAAGAGTATTTAGCCCCTACCTTTTCTTACTACAAACAAGTAATGTGAATATTAAAATTAAAAAAAGAGGATATAGAGGGAGAAAAATAAGGATTAAAAGTCAATCAGCTTTAATGGCCAAGCTGGTAGCATAGCTTTAACTTAAATCTGATTCCCAATAAATCTCATCTTTAGTGAATAACTCTCATAAAACCTGTAGGTATACCTACACAGTATATGTTTTTAATGTACACTCTTCTGTCTGACTTTTTGTGTAGTTACAGAGATTGTAGGAAATGTTAACGGGACACCACTGGCACCCAGACCACTTCAGCTCATTGAATCGTCTGGGTGCATAGTCGCAGGTCCCTTACCTCTGCAAAGGTAATTATTGCAGTTTTTTATAAAGTGCAATAATTACTTTTGAGGGTTAACTCGACCTCTAGCGGTTTTCTACCAGAGGGACTTCTGGTTTGTTAAGCGACTTTTGGTCGCCTACTCGATGCAGAGTGTTTGTCAGTGTAGTGAATGCAGAGTGTGGGTCAGTGTAATGAAAGCAGAGTGTGTGTAAGTGTATGCATGTAGTGTAAATTGAGCATTCCAAAAATGTTATTCCCCCCTCCCTGGTTCTAACCTGGTACAGGGAGGGGGGAGTTTCCATCCCTGATGCTTCGGTGGCATTGTGGGGCCCCCCAGCTCGCTATACTTGTAGAGGGGTCCCAGCGGACTGCAAGTGTACTTTACAGCTCTTCCCTCTCTGTAACTTCTGTGAGCGCAGCGTGCGTGCCGCGTGGAGTGTTGCCATGGTAACCAGTGGCAACGCTCTGACGGCCGCGGGTCTCGCGGGAGTTAGAGAGAGGGAAGAGCTGTAAAGTACACTTGCAGTCCGCTGGGCCCCCACTGCAAGTATAGGGAGCCGGGGGCCCAGCGGATCATCGCTATATATATGTGCAGAGAGGGAATGTGGGGCCCAGGACTGCCAGAGCAGTCCAGGCCCCCCAGGACCGCTGGGCACGTGACAACAGTCATGGTTGTCACCCTCTGATGCGTTGACCCTCTGCACGGGAATATATGACGGTTGTCATTCCCTTTTATTCCAGACGTTTGATCCTTAAGGGGTTAAAAGAAGAAAAACTACCACAACAAGAGGACATAGTCTTAAATTAGAGGGGCAAAGGTTTAAAAACAATTTCAGGAAGTATTACTTTACTGAGAGGGTAGTGGATGCATGGAATAGCCTTCCAGCTGAAGTGGTAGAGGTTAACACAGTGATGGAGTTTAAGCATGCGTGGGATAGGCATAAGGCTGTCCTAACTATAAGATAAGGCCAGGGCCGGATTAACATAGGGGCTGATGGAGCTGCAGCTCCAGGCCCAGGCCCAGGCCCATGGAATAGGCCCATTTAAAAAAAAAAACAAAAAAAAAAAACTTTTTTTAAAACTTTTTTACACACTACTCTTAGGTTTGCCACCTGACTGGTATTTTAAGGCACAGCCTGTTTTTGAGGCTGCCTGGCCGTGACGGTATTGCAGTAATACCGGCAACACAAATGCAGATATTTTTCGCAGTATAAATGGAGATTACTCTGCAATATCAGCACCGGCCAGTAGGGGGTCACTGTGTGTGGAGAGAGGCAGGGATAGGAAGGTACAGCATCTACCTGCCTCTCTCTACTCACTGATCTGCGGGGGAGCAGCTACACAGCACAGAGGGTCAAGACAGCAGCTTCCAGCCTGCAGAGACAGACTACACCTCAGGTAAGTGAGGGATGGGGGGAAAGGCAGCAGGGAGACATGGGGTCACTGAGACACTAGGGGACACAGGGAGACATAGGGAGACACATTGGGACACAAACACTAGGGACACAGTGTCCCCATGTCTCCCAGCTAGTGTCTCTATGGCTCCCAGTGTCCCCTAGTCTCCCAGTGTTTGTGTCCCCATGTCTCCCACTGTCCCCATGTCTATGTCCACAAGTGCTCCCATGTCTCCCAGTCAGTCCCTAGTGTCAGTGTCCCCATGTCTCCCAGTGTCCCCTAGTCTCCCAGTGTCCCTAGTGTCTTAGTTTCACCAAATGTCTGTGTCCCCATGTATCTGTGTCCCTAGTATCTGTGACCCCATGTCTCACAGTGTCCCCTAGTCTCCCAGTGTCCCTAGTGTCACCAAATGTCTGTGTCCCTAGTGTCTGTGACCCCATGTCTCCCAGTGCCCCCATGTGTCTCAGTGTCCCCTAGTATCCTAGTGACACGGGCCACGCTGAGACATGGAGACACAGAGAAATGGGGACGCAGACACTGGGAGACTAGGGGACACTGTGATATATAGGGACACTGATACCAGGCTGTCCTTCAGGCTGACCTTCCAATTCTTTGGACAGACATGCCCCCTTTTTGGGCATGTTTGTCTTTTTTGGCAGTTCTGGTCATGTGATTTGGGTCAGTGGCCCACCCTTTTACCCCGCCCATTGACTTCCTGCTTCACTAGACACTGCTGTTAGGGGTTATGGATTTACTTGAAAGATGAAAGCATAAATTAGAGGGAGGTTAGCATAGAGTATGGGTTTTCTTATAGCTGCATCCTTTGAGTTTCCCTCCAACATCATCTCCATCGGATACATGACGCTTGGGAGGTATGATTGTTTTAGTGTTTTTGGTAGATAAGATTCTGTAATTAGGCCCCATCATAATTGTCAGCACCAGGCCCATGGGGCTCTTAATCTGGCCCTGGATAAGGCCAGGGACTAATGAAAGTATTTAGAAAATTGGGCAGACTAGCTGGGCCGAATAGTTCTTATCTAACGTCACATGCTGTCATGTTTCTATGTTAAAGTTTTTGGGGTCAGAGCAAGAAACCATGAATTGATCACAAATGAACACATTTTAAAAACTTTAGGCATAAACAAAGGAATGGAAAATATTCAAACCCTCGTTTTACTTTAATTTTTGGGTTGGAGCCAAACATGGAATTAAAAGAAAGCAGTTCTTTTTCTTTTTCTTTCCGTGAGAAATGACAATACGAGTTGTCTGAAGAAATCCCTTTGCTTGGACATAAATAAACCTATATGTCAGAAGGAGTCACTATGTAAACAATAAAAGGTGAATGTTGTAAAGACTTTCCAAATTAAGAAGAATAGATCTTATAAATAGTAACCTACCATTAAACAGAAATGGGCAGAGCTCCATTATTTGTTTTATTGTTCTATATTTAGAGAGGTTTTGATTGAGGTTATGCAATGACGCACAAAGCCTGGGGACTTTCGTTACCTTTTATGACTCCGTGGGATTCCCTGATTTTATATTTACGTACCTGCAAGGCTGTTATCATCCTATCTAGTCATCAAGTAAACACCCTTAATACCGATGAACCATTACTCATTGCAGGAGACTTTCTATTAAAAAATAATCATTGTCACTTTATTAGCAAAATATAATATAAAGTGCAGGCTTTTTTAAAAAAATTTTTTTTTTACAAAACTCACACACAACATTTTCAGCACATAACAATTGATCGCTCAAATGGAAATAATTTAAATTAGATCTGCTATTGACATGTTTTTGTTTTTTTACTAAATTGAGGACAACCATTTCAGCTGGGGCAAACAAATCAAAATCTTGTAAACCAACACACGAACGAATTTCGAATAACAGGAATTTGATTCATTCGACACAGCTGAAATGGATTTGTGCACAAGTCTAATTTTTACTGCTACAATGCACATGGAAGCCGTTACTGATAGGTCCTAGAGAAAAGAAAAGTATAGATGCCAAATAAGAGGAATGTTGCAGTATGCAGTGTTCATTTTTTTAAACTAACATTGCATATTTAAATACAAGATTTCAAGGGTTTTCTCTTTTCCCCAGGACTAGATCGATACAATAGAATTTAACATTTGTAACTGAAAAGGACTCTATATAGGGGGTGGAGCCAGTGCTCAAGCAAGCTGGACGTACATCTCTGCAGCTCCGAGCATTGCCCAGAAATAACCGCTCCCAAAGTGCCTTAAAAGAGACCCAAGGGCTCCCTACACCATGGGGAAGAAAAGCAAGAAACATCGAGCGGATCTGGGGTCCGGCTCCGGAGATATCGGAGCTTTTCTTCGAGCTGCTGCACGGCCTGAGAATCCAAAGATGACACCTGAGGCCTATACCACACAATCCTCGGACGAGGACAGTATTTATGCCAAGCCTGCCATGATGAACCGAGCTAGACAGATAACCCACATTAGAAATGAACTCCCTATATAAACGGACGGTACCAGGACCTCATCCACACTTCTGAAGAAGCCTTTTTACAGGTGAAACGCGTTAAGTGGACATTTTTTATAGTGATTTTACATACATTTTATTGTTTTTGTTGTTAAATAAATAGTATATTTTTTATCCTTTCATCACTCTGGATTACCATTCCTTTACTTCCTGGTTACCATCACATTCCCTGGTGGGGATTATACCACCTAGGCTACACCAACTAGAGCAAGTCTTGCTCTAGTACATGTGAGTACGCCATTATATATTTTTTCATTGTATTTACCTTATCAATACATATTGCACTATTTGGATTCTCTGTGTCTCTCCATATATCATCTGCCTGAGACTGTCAAGACGCCTACTGCTTCATATATATCCTAGACGGGGATTGTTCCGTCTATGCGAAATAACAGCTGAGCTCTGAGTTAGCTCTGGTAAATGCGAGTGTACATTCAGTTAAGCAATCTTTCACATACCCACTATACCTACCTTATTGCACTATTATTTTTTATGATTTTTACTTTGAGGTCAACTGTATAGAGAACGTCATCATAAGATTTGTGTACGTATATTATTTATATCATATTGTCTAGGGCGCGGTTCCCCCCTCTTTTCCATTATAAAAGCAAAACCGCATCTTTACTCATATGGGCATTAAACTGCCGCGCAACGGCGCCCACCCAAGCCAAGCCTATGACCCCCCTTAGATTGAGCGAGAGTGGGCTGAACAGCTCATATATAAAAATTTAAATTGGGTTGCCCCCCCTGCTTGTAATAAAATCTGTTTATGACCGATGTTAAACTTACGTTATAATACCTAATACATGTGACAATGTTGTTGATGATGCAATACCCACAAAATAAAGAATTAAAAAAAAAAAAGAAAGAAAAGAAAAGGACTCCATAGGCACCCAAACCACTTTAGTTTCAACCTTGCAAGTGAAAATATAGTGTTTTGTCATGCATGCGCAATGACTTCGTAATACTTTCCTATGGGAAAGCATTGGATTGGCTGAGATCATCAAGATTGATGATCTCAGCCAAGGAGGCGGGTCCTGACTTGAACACAGCGGCACGACGTAGGAGAAAGGGTGAGTAAACTACTTTTTAACCAAAGCACTGAGAAGGTGGCCACCGAAATAATGTCATTTGTATTCCTAACGCTATAGAGTTCCTTTAAGACACAAGTGATATCCTGATTAAGGATAGGGGGAAGGGGTATTGTAAATAGCAGAAGATGGTTCTGAGAATAAGAGATGTGGGGGATAGGGAACAGTCAGAATAGGATAGGTAAGGGAGAGATTACTGATATGAAATAAAAAGATTGACATACATTTAAACGTTTACAGTGCTATTTACTACAGTGTGACTTGTCGGGCATTCAGAGTGAGTTTTTAAGTTTAAGACCAATGTAGCGGAACTGGGAGCTAACTTGGAACATATTTCAAGTTTGGCTAATTTGGCCTTAAATTTGAAATTCACTTCTAATTCCCAACAATTGTTACTTTTGTAAATAACCCTGATATAAAATACCAGGAAGGGGTAGAAGTGTTTAAAAGTACAAAGATGTCAGCATACTGTATATATGTGGATTATCAATGGTGGATAAAGGTGTAGAACAGGGGTAGGCAACCTTTTAGCAGCACTGTGCCGATATAGGATTGTGATGTCTCGTAGTGTGCCGGTCCTATTTTTTTTAAATTGAGGTGTGTATGCTGCCGTATTCTGCTTGTGTTATTTTTACTGTAATTGCTTTGTATCGTCGTATTTGTGCGTATATGAGCTATTATACTGTATATGTTCATGAGTAGTTTATGGTATTGTGTAGGATACATATGAATGTGGGCTGTGTATGAGGGCTGCTTGTGGAATTGTGTGTGTGGATGGATTTGTCACATTGTGTTTGGTAGTGTGGAGGCTGTTTGGGGTATTGCATGTGAGAGGCTGCATGTGGGGTTGTGTGCGTGTATGTGGATTGTCAGTGGTGTTCAGTTTGTGTGGATTGTGTGTATGTTTGTATGAGGGGAGGGTTATTCTGCATTTCTGTTTATATCAAGCAGTGTGGGTGGCTTCCCTGGGTTCCAGTTGGGACCAGGCCAGCCAGGTACAGGTCAAGGACAGGAGCTGCAACAACAACTGCGAGCTGCTCTAATACTGTGTGGATTCCCATTCACAAGTGCTTGAATGAAGTGCTGGGAGATCACTTCCTCTACGTGCTGCAATGCATAAATTGAGGATTGTCCTTCACCACCTCTTCGTATTAGCAGATATCTGAAGTTTTACTGGGACTCCTGATAGGCCAGAGCCTGTTTGGTTCTAGCAGCCTTGAGTGCCGTGCAAAAGCACCTCGAGTGCCGTGCATGGCACTAGTGCCGTAGGTTGCCTACCCCTGGTGTACAATATATGAAATTTGGTAGTGTGAAAAAAAACATAATACATTTAGAATCTGCAATTTGTCCTGCGTTTATACAATCAAAATGTATTACCATTTTAATTTCTGTTCCTTGGGTTTTATGAAGTTTGCCTTAACTATTTTTAGGTTTCGGGTGATGTGATCAGCCTGAATTAAATGTCGCTCAACTGTGGTGCAATATTTGGTTT